AAGACTGTATATCACAGTGCTACATGAGTGCATTTGTTAATCTAAGTCTGTAACAATTCTGAGTGCAAACAACAGCACAGTAGTGATTATAGAAAGCTACCACTTCAGTATAAAAACAGGGCACACACATGCTTGTATAAATATACAAGAAACTGGCTGTTCCTCAGGAGACTGAAGCTGGAGTTGGTAATGGATGAGAAACATATTTTCCACTTAGATCCATTTCTTAAAACTGTGAATATACTACTAAAATTTTAAATTATGTATTGTGTGTGTGTGTGCGTGCACGCGCGCTAAAGTGTACACATATGTGACATGTAGGAGCCTGCAGAAGCCAGAAGAGAGTATTACATCTGGAATTGGAGTTGCAGACCACTGTAAGCCGACATGTGGGTGCTGGGAACTGAACCCGTCTTTGGCAAGAACAACAAATGCTCTTAATGGCTGAGCCCATCTTTCCAGCACCTTATTAAAAGGTTTTACAGTTAGTGTTGTGAAGACAGCAATACTGTTTGGGATGATGTGGAGACATTACGGCATAACGAGTAATGTAGAACCCCCAATTGAATAGTTGGTGACGGCTCCAGCAAATAAAAACAATAAGCAATGTGCCTAAGTAGTTGCCTCTAGGTCAATGGTTCTCAACCTTCCTAATGTTTCAACCTTTTAATACAGTTCTCATGTTGTGTGACCCCCCAACCACAAAATTATTTTCATTGCTACTTCATAACTAATGTTGCTACTGTTATGAACTGTAATGCGGATATCTGATATGCGACCTCAAAGGGTCTCAACCCACAGGTTGAGAAACGTGCTCTAAGTGATGTCTTTCTGTTTTCCTTCTCGGTTTCCTGCGTATTTAATAGTTTTCTGGGAGATGAAGAGATGGCTCAGTACTTAAAAAGCATTGAACGCTTTCCCAAAAGACCCTAATTTGACTCCCAGCACCCAATATGGTGGCTCACAGTCACCGGTCAATCCAGTTCCAAAGGATCCGACCCCTTCTTATGCATCTGCCAGCTCCAGACACCCTAATGGCGCAGAGACATATACATGCAGGCAAAACAATTATTCATACACATAAAACTAAACAAAGTTTCTATGACAGTTTTTGTTTTGCGACAGGGACTCGTGTCAGCTCAGGCTGGCCTTGGAGTGCAAATCTCAGCCTTCCCAGAGCTGGGGCCCAGTTCAGGAGTGCACCATCATGCCAGTCCTAAGATTGAGGTTTGCTTTAACTCTGGAAACGGCCTTTTAACTAATTACTACCGTGAGGATGGAAAGCACCACTCTGTAAAGGTGGGCAGACGGCTTTGGAATCCCGCAGGGTGGACCCGCCAGTCCCTGACCGCACACCAAACTGAGCCCGCGGGCGGCAGTCAAGCTGGGGTCCCAGACGACGGCCTCTGGACTCCAAGTGTGAAGACGGAGGGGGGAAGCGCCTACGGTGCCTGCAGTCTACAGGACCCCAGGAAACCTCCAGGCTGGCTGGGGTCGCCCAACAATGCTAGGCTACCGGCGAACGAGAGGGCGGGCCTCCGGGGCGGCCCCTCAACAGACCGGCTTCCGGTCGAGGGCCTGTGGCATCCGGTCGCTCGGCCTCGGCCGGGACCAGAGGCCCACACTGCGGGTCCCGTGAGGCGACGCCCAGCGCCCGGGACCCTGGCTGGAGAAGGACGCGCGCCTCTCGCGGGGTGGCCGCCGCCGCCGCGGCCCTGGGTGGACGGACACTCACCATCTCGGACCGATCCAGCAGCTCCGAGTCGCCGACGCCCAGCGAGTTCCCCGCCCTTCTGAGCCTGCGCACGGTTCTTTACCGAGACGGACAGCTCGGGCAGCCTATCAGGAGCCAGTGGGGGATGAGGCGGGCTGACGTGAGTCAGCGGGGCAGGGACTCTTCCCTAGGAAAGGCGAGAGCTGCTGTGGAGAATTCCTCTCCAGCTGTGCGGAAGAGGCACCGGGTCGCCAGGTCTGTTTTCAATATTCAACCGAGGTCCCTGGGCGGAGGCCGACCGTTGCTGAAACTCCCTTTGGCCCAGACTGATGCAGAGATAAAAACCCAAATGAGCTGAGAACACGGGCAGCCCCGAAGTTGTGCGTCTCAGGAGCAAGCTCTGGGGTAAACTGGACAGGACTGCCCTGCGCGTGTAAGATTTAGGATTGCGGACTCCCCGCACTCCTGTGTTTCTTTGGAGAATATTCTTGACATCTCTGCCTTACTATTAATCCACCTGTAAAATGGGACCCATTTCCCTCCAGAGTCTTGTCTTGTCCTCTGCCTCTTTAAGTTTACTCTTGCAGGTTTCTAGAATCTTAGGTTAAAACACTGGCATGTAGTGATGATCCTGGAGTCAGGTTCTGATCCCTTCATGAACTCAGATAACAATCAAATGTCTCAAACAAAAGGTTAACTGTCACAAAAGGTAGCATACAAAAGTCAGTTAAAAGTCTAGATGCAAGCAAGGGAGAGCTGTCCCTTCTAGGCATCTGACACATGGCATGCATCATGGGCAGAGAAGAGATGCCCTCCCCGTCAACCCAACCATCAAGGCCTGAGACAGGGAGACAGTCCCTTCCCCTCACTAGCTTCAACACTTAGGAGAGTGGCCCCGTCGCACCAGCTGCAGCACTTAGGAGAGTGGCCCCTTCACCTGGTCTGGGCAACACAGAAGAACTGGCCCTGATGATGGTCCAAGTTGGGGCATGAAAGTAGAACTTGCCCCACCCCTAGCTCACTGCTTCAAGGGTGAATTAGCCAGGGCAATGCTGGAGAGCCCACCCTGGTGGTGAGGCCCGGGAGAACTGGTGGTCAGACCAACCCTGCAGCTGCCCAGAACCAGAACCAGGGTTAGGACTTAGCTGGAGCACGTAAAGGGACCTGATCTGCAGACCCAAAGCTGTGGGATCTCCACAACACAGGGCAACAACAGGTATCCAAGAAGACTCCCAGTAAGGGTCAGCATTGATAGTGTAGTGGAAACCAGAGGCCTGGAACCAAACCAGTGACTGCAATGAACACTTGCCAAGTAAAGATACACAGACAAAGGGGTTTACTGTGTGTCACACTGTGGCTTCCAGGATGAGATTTTTAATTTTTTCCTTTTCGTTTTGTTAGGAAGTGCTCTTGCCTAAAGCCACCCTTGGCTGAGCAAACAACAGACCTCCTAACAACCAGGGTCTAGGAGGGGTCTGTAGTTTCTGCTCACTTTCTGAAGTTTCCCTCTGCTGGTTCAGGTTTTAAAAGAAGACACAACCGTCCTCTGTCTTCTTTCATAAAACAGTTGTGTGGTTTTATGCTGAGGGTGTGTGTGTGGAGGCCGGAGCACAATCTGTGGGATTCATTCGTTCTGTCTGCCTTTTCCATGGCTCCAAGTTGAAATCAGGGTTGTGTGGCAACTATCTTTACCCAAAGGCAGTTTGCCAAACTTATCCGTGTTTTTCTAAACATTTTGTCTGTATATATGTGGGCTTCTGCAAGCCACAAGACAAGCCTGTGGCAGACAGAGAGGACAATTTTGGGGAATAATTCTCTCCTCACACTCAGTTGCCCTGTGATTAATCTCAGATCTGTAGGCTTGCTTGGAGGCAAGTCCTCTACCCTCAATCATTTCACCAAAGCTCACGTCTGAATTTTTCTTTTTGTGGGGAGGTTTTCGAGGCAGGGTTTCTCTGTGGTTTTGGAGGCTGTCCTGGAACTAGCTCTTGTAGACCAGGCTGGTCTTGAACTCACAGAGATCCCACTGCCTCTGCCTCCCTTGTGCTGGGATTAAAGGCGTGTGCCACTAACACCTGGCTCACACTTGGATTTCTAATGAGGTATTCTTAAGTGGGCGAGGAGGCAGACTTGTGGAGAATGGTCAGTCTTTTTTAGGAAAAAAAAAAAAGATTGATTTATGAATGTTTTAACCTTGTGGGCAGTGGTGGCAGAGGCAGGTGGATCTCTGTGAGTTCGAGGCCAGCCTGGTCTACAGATTGAGTTCCAGGAGATCCAGAGCTGCTACACAGAGAAATCCTATCTTGAAAAAAATCAACAATCAATAAATGAATGTTTAACTAGCATGTATGCATGTAAGTGCACCATGTGCACACCTAGTCTCATGGAGGTCAGAAGAAAGTCTCAGATCTCTTTGAACTAGAGTTGTAGGTGACAGGAAGCTGCACTGGAGTCTGAATTTTGATCCTGTGGTAAAGTAGTAAGCACCTTTTCTTTTTTCTTTTTTTGGTTTTTCAAGACAGGATTTTTCTCTGTGTAGTCCCAGCTGGCCTCAAACTCAGATCCACCACTGGGATGCAAGCACTCTTAACCACTGAGCTTATCTCTCCAGCTGGTTGGTTTTTGTTTGTTTCTAAGACAAGGCATATAATCCCGCTGTCTTGGAACTCATAGAGGTTGCTAGTTTCTACCTCTCCAGTGCGGGAATTAAAGGCACGAACCACCAAGTCTGGCTCCTCCTTAAAAACTTACTGGCAGTTTCATGCACAGATACAGTGCAGTCTGCTCACACCCATCCCACCCTCTCCATCCCACTGTCATGTCTTAAGTGTTTGCTTTGTGACCCAATGGTTTGAACCAGAACCTTGTGTGTTGTCATGAGTGTGACACTACCCACCGTAACTCAGCCGTGGGTGTGTTTTGTCTTTTTTGAGACAGAGTCTCAATGGACCTGGAGTTTATCTAGTCAGCTGGGCTGTCTAGCTGGCCAGAGGCTTGCAGAATCTGCCTGTCTTTGCTGTCCTAGTGCTGCACACCACTGCTCCAGGCCTCCATCATGCTTGTGCAGCAAGCACTTTACTGACTGAGCCCTCTTCCTCAGACCACTTCTGCTGCAGGAAGAGGCAATTCAGATGGAGGCCTCTGTGACCTTGCAGATGGCCTCACCCAGCTGTATCTGAGGAGCAGATCTGCATTTCCTACACACAGCCAGGCTGTCAACATGCAACTCAATAAAAGGCTTTCCTATATGCCATTTTCCTAACAAAAACCAGGAAAGTGTGCAAAATGAAGGACTCAAAAACTTTAATTTTTATAAACAGTCTTACATCTTTTAAAGGAATCCAAGGGAGACAACCTCCTTCCTGTGATGTGTAGTTACATGAGCATTTTAAATCAGTCTAAGAAAGCGAAGGGACAGGCAAGTATGCCAGTCCCTGGTTGACTTGATGGAAGCATATACAAACACTTGAAAGTCCAAAAGAAAAACAGAAGGGCGTGGTGGCTGGAAATGCCAATGATACCCCACTGAAGTAGTGAAAGAAATTTAGACCACAAACATGAGTTACCCTGAAAACATTTCAGGTAATTTCACCAGGTAAGTAAAAAAGTGACAAGGGCTTGACTGAAACAGTCATTTAGAGTGACACCTGGTAAGCAGATGAGCGGATCCTTTGGTGACAAAAGTACCTGAATTTTAAAGAGTTATTTAAATAACTTCTAAACATAAATGCTTCTAGACCACAGGTCCCTGCTATCAATTGCTCAGTTGGCTTTAAATTACTTCGTCTCATCAAATACCCAAGCCCCTTCCCTATTGACCCTGCTGTGGAACCCACCAAAGAGCAACAGAAAAGGCAAATGCTCACTGTACTGTTTTTATTTCAATGTAACATGCAGTAAGAAAAAAACTTAACAGGATTGATTAGCATTTACAATGCTTACAGAGAAAAAGGTCTTAAAAGCAACTTAGTCTGGATTTAAGAAAAAGCACTAATTAAACACAATAAATCAATTTCCAAATACTCACTTTGAACCAAAATGTGAGAGCATTTGGTAAATATTTATGTCTGCTGTCTAGTTGCATTATTTTATATAATCTCTGATTCTTGGGATATCCAGCCCCATTTTCCTAACACAGCAGGGAAGACATATACATGTGATCAATTAAATTAAAGGAAGAAATGGAGTTGGGAGACCCCAGGGCTGCAAAAATATATACAAGCATTTACCTTTTCCAGAACTAAACATTTCTTCCATAAAAATATTAAATAGCCAAGCCCTATAGAACTAGGGCCAGGACTACTTCAAATATAACTTCTGTATTTTAAAAATATAGGGCAGAAAGCCTTTTGGGTAATATTTATACATTTTCACATAATATCTCTAGGTCCCTAAATGAATCATGAAGCATTATGCAGAATCAACAAAGCCTATTTTCTTACATTATTTCTTAATTTAATCTCATAAATCTCTAGTGGATATGGTAGATGACTACATTTCAGTACAAGAATTTGATCCAATGGGAGGTCTTTGTAGAAGGCTTAGTATTTATAGCCATATATTAAAGTCCAAGCCTATGTAGTAAATGGGTAGTTGGCAGACATTCGCTCTGTAAGACAAAGCAATAGCATATATATTTTTTAACCCTACCAACAAAAAGGCAGAGAGTTCCTACTTAGGAGATAACTAGGGCTTCTAGAGATGATGTATTTCCTGTGGTATACAGGGTAAAAAAGAGGGCTGGGAGAAGCTGGGCTTCCCTTCACTGATGGTTTCTAGATGAGGCAACTCTTCCTCAGTCACGCGAGTCTCCGCTGACCATCAATGGCAGTGTTAGAGTACAGCCGCACAAGTTCAGAATGTTCCAGGGTGAGAACAAGAAGAGCAGCTAGGGACAGAGAACATTTTCTTTCCTATGGAACAGGGGTTTGTCACTCTCTGTGTACTCTTGGCTTCATGCTTCATGTTCATGCTATGCTAACGACATGTGTCCAAAAGTCCCTGCTGGAGTTATAAGGCTGTTTTGGGGATTTGGCTATAATAGGGACTGACATGGCTGAGGCTTCATTTCATTGCTCATGAAGTCTTATCTACGGCAGCAGCCATCCTGACAGTCTAAGCGAAGCCAAGGAAACTGAGTACAGAGAAAGTCAAAGTGCATTCATCAGCTACTAAAGGAGCAGTCTAAAATGAACGAGTCATGAAGAAAAAAGCAAAATCTAATGTTTTTAGGGGTGAGAAAAATATTGCAGATCAGGACCATGTGAGAAGACGGGAACGCCTGCTCCTGTGTGTGGCAGAAGTGTAAAACAGCACAAATGTGCTGTTGGACACTGTCCTTTTGCTGATATTGTCCTGATTTCAAAGACTGCACCACTGACCTTTATTTGGATTAGAAATGTAACTGGGGTGTTGGATTATGATAAAACCATAAAGCTTCTATTTATGTGTAAGACTTAAAAATCAAGAATGATCTTAGATGAATTCAGAAAAATTAATTTTAATTTTAGGTTAACTTCTAAAATGTAAAGGAACCACAGTGCTAATACTGCTTGTAAAGTTTAGTATTTGCAAGGCAATAAAATAATTATAAACTGAAGAGAGGTATGAAGTCATATGTCGGCGGGGACCAAGTTTTTTCCCTGAATTCAATAGACAAAAACTACTTTGTAGAAAGATGTGAGTCCTGCGTCACTTCCAGGAATAACGTGAGAATGACGCACTGATTCATGCTCCAGAGATGAAACCAACAGTCAGGCCAGGCTGAAATGAGAGGGAGAGCACAAGCGACAGTTGCTCAAGTGCCGACGCGGGGCTGAGCTTGCACTGTTGTCGAGCACCTCCTAGCTAGAGGCTTTACCAGGAAGACCTTGTGTATTGCAGCTTTGGAGATGTCCCTGCGTGTCTGCAGAATTTTTACAACAGCCACCAAGAGACCTACTCCCAAGTGGGACCTTGACACCACAGAAAATTGTTGTTAAGGGAACAATCTAGTGGAATAAGACAAGGGAGATTTTATCGCTGTGTTAAATCTCATGTTAAGTAAGTTTCTGACTACTGTTTGTAGATCTGCTTTCTGGAGATGCTGAGTAGAAATCCAGAATCACTGGAAGATAAATCTCAAGGATAACATTAATCTACTTACACTCAGATAGCTCTCTAGTCACAGTCCAAGTTTACAATAAGGTGTGCAACAGGCAGAGAAGGAAGGGGCAGGCACTGTAGATGAGTCCCTGTCCTCTGATGGCCTAAGGTCTCAATAGTTACTCTTGTCCAAATCCTTCTGTTTCTTCAATGGCAAATAACAGCTTTTCCTTCAGTTGCTCGTAGCTCTTGTAGGGTGGGAGGTCCAGGCGGTTAAAACTGAAAATAAGAATTGTTGGCTTAAGGAAAGGAAGGATACAAAGACAGAAGTGGGCAGTGTCCTGCAGCAACAGTGTTCTGACAATGGGGGCTTGAATGAGGGCCTTTGAAGAGCTGCTTTCAACCTTTCCTAGACTCACTCAAGTACCTTCTCTGGTAAACCAGACAGCAACACCCACCCCTGTGGTAGAGTCGGAGCCACACACAGCTCAGTGCCAATGTTCAGCAGACATTCAGCAAATGCTGCCCCAACTACCACTCTAGATCAGTGGTCATCAAACTTACTGTAAATGGCCAAAAAGAAATACTTTTAGGCTTTGCAGGCTATAAAAAGTTTTAGGTGTATCATGTTAGAATAAGAAATGATAGGCCAGGTTTAATCCCAGCACTCAGGAGGCAGAGGCAGGTGGATCTCTATGAGTTTGATGTCACTTGGTTTACACAGTGAGACCCTGTCTCAACATAAATACAAACAAACATAAGAAAACGACTCTCTAATACTTTGCTCTCTCTACATTTCTCTGTTCCAGTCTTCCAGCTTTAAAATTTGTAAGCAGTGTCTTTTTTATTTGTGTTCTTACAGGTGTGAGACAAAAATAAACAATTCCACAAACAAACAAAAAACCCCAAGGAACTATTTACATTATTGTCAAATATAAATTATTTTATTTTTTACGTGTGTGCTTTGTTTACCTGTATATCTACGAACTGCATGTGTGCCTAGTGCCCGTGGAGGCCAAAAGAGTGAATCAGATCTTTTGGATCTGGATTTATAGTTGGTTGTGAGCCATCATGTGGGTGCTGGGAATTGAACCCATGTCCTCTGTAAGAGCACATAGGTCCATAAATAGTTGGACATGATACTCTATGTCTATAATTTCAGTATTTGGGCATTAGAGGCAGGATGAACAGGAATTCAAAGCTAGCCTAGGCTTCATAAGACCTAGTCTCAGAAAACCAAGACACATAAGGAATATGTACAATTATTTTGTGTCAATTAAAAGTAATGGGGAGGCTGGAGCTGTGGCTCAACAAAATGTTAGTCTAACAAAAATGTAAGGTATTGATTTTGTTTCCTAATGCCACACAAAACACACAATCGGTCAAATAAAAGGAAGAAAAAAGTGATATGTCCTATAACACATGATTTGAAGTAAAATAAGTCAGGCAGAGAAGGACCTGATTCTATACTGAGAAAGGACCTGAATTAATCAAAAGTCTTACTAAAGACAAAAAGAATGTTGGTCACCAAGAGCTGAAGAATGCAAGTATGTGTTTAGTGACACATGTCAGTCGACATATGACAGGGATGCCCTCATAACCATGTGAATCCATTTAACAACACTGAACTACATACACCTGGAAAAGGTTAAAATCCAAATGCAATTACCACAAATTGAATTCCAACATGAACTGTATTTGAGGTTAACACTGGTTGCTTTTTAGTTTGGTGCATTTTGGGAAATGAGGTTAAACTGCATTTTAAACCAGAAAACAAGATCTGGGGATATAGCTCTGTTATAGAGGGCTGCCTGGTATGTGAAAGGCTCTGGCTAAGCTCAATTCCCGGTACTGCAAAAAGGAAATCAAAAAGAGCAATAATTCTATTCACATTACTAAGTAGGGCACAAGTATTCTAAAATCCCACGTTAACACTTTAAGAGGCAGGAAGGGCGTGAATGGTAATGGGCACAATGGGAATCATCTTAAGTTGAAGGCAAGGCTCTAAAACAACTTCAGGCAAACCTGTATCACGGATCAAAACGGGTCAATCTGGTGGCTTGTAATCCCAGCACTTGGGAAGTAGCGGCAGGAAGATCAGGTATTCAAGGGCAGCTTGGGCTATGAGATCATGTCTCAGTAAAAGGGGGGGGGGGGTGGGTCTGAGCTATGATTTGGCTCAGGTGACTCACAACATCTGTAAATTACACATGGTGCACATACACTCATGCAGTGACATATACAAAGAAAATTAACCTTTTTTTTTTTTTTTTTTTTTTTGGTTTTTCACGAGACAGGGTTTCTCTGTATTGTTTTGGAGGCTGTCGGTCCAGCCCGGCCTCAAACTCACAGAGATCCGCCTGCCTCTGTCTCCCGAGTGCTGGAGAAAATTAACCATTTTTTAAAAGGGGGGAAGGGAATTTATTTTGTGAGACATAAATTCTGCCTCATAAAACTGTTAAGATATGGAGAAATTATTCAATTTCTAACAAGTAGCCAGAGGCTAAGTTGATAAAAATTTATTTTCTGCATTTCTGATTTTGCTTACCAGGTATGGCTTCTGGGTAACCAATTTTCTTTCCCAACTTTCTCGATGCAGAACTTCTGTGGTCCATTACTCCCTAAAGCACAGTAAAAGCATAAAGAAATTGATTTAAAAATTCTTCAATTATGCATCCCAATTCAGCATCAGCATTGCGATTCAGATTCCCAGACGCATAGACTCGTCCAAACCTACTGTAAGAAAAGAGAGGAAGAGAAAGAGATGGGAAAGAATCTAATTGTAAAAGTAACATACTTGAATTGTTTTGGGTTTTGTTTGGTTTTTTGTTTTGTTTTGTTTTTTCGAGACAGGGTTTCTCTGTATTGTTTGGAGCCTGTCTGGAACTCACTCTGTAGACCAGGCTGACCTCGAACTCACAGAGATCCTCCTGCCTTTGTCTCTCGAGTGCTGGGATTAAAGGCGTGTGCTGGGGCTGGAGAGATGGCTCGTAGGTTAAGAGCCTGGCTGGTCTTCCAGAGGTCCTGAATTCAATTCCCAGCAACCACATGGTGGCTGACAGCCATCTACAATTCAATATGGTGCCCTCTTCTGGTATGTAGGCAGAACACTGTATATGTAATAAATAAATAACTCTTTAAAAAAAAATAAAAAAATAAAGGCGTGCGCCACCACCGCCTGGCACTTGAATTGTTTTTAGGTAGCCTCTAGCTTTTACTCTTACCTGACATTATCCCTTAATTATATAACTTCCATGTAGACTCCTACATTTACAGTTCTATTTTTTAATTTTATTTTTTTATATTTTTAATAATTTAACTTTATTTTATGTGCATGGTGTGAAGGTATCAGATCCCCTAGAACTGGAGTTATGGACAGTTACGGACAGTTGTAAGCTGCCATGTGGGTGCTGGGAATTGAACCCTGGTCTTCCAGAAGAACAGCCAGTGCTCTTAACAATGGAGCCTTCTCTCAAGCACTTGCACATTCCTATTTTTAGTCACTTTTTAAAAAAAATATTTTTAATGATTTATTATTTTTGTGCATTAGTGTTTTGCCTGCATTTATGTCTGCATGAGGGTATCAGATTTTCTGGAACTAGAGCTAGAGACAGTGGTGAGCTGCCATGTGGGTTCTGGGAATTGAACCAGGTTTCCTGGAAGAGCAGCCAGAGCTCTTAACCACTAAGTCACCTCTCCAGCCCCTAAGAAGATATGTTTTGACACTAGTTTACTTACTTTTAGGGACAAAATCCAGGATCTCATGCATGTTCAGCAAGGGCTATACCATCAGCCTGATGCTACACTTTTAAATAAGGTCCATTTTTATTTTTCCTCAAATTGATCTTTTATACTTTAGTTGGCAAGTGTATTACTATCCTACTGGATTTAGCTTATTCCTTTTTCTTTCTTTTTTTTCTTTTTTGTTTTACAAGACAGGCTTCCTCTGTGTAAAACCTGAGTTGTCCTGGAATTCACTCAGTAGACCAGGTTGGCCTTGAACTCACACTTTGCTTCTTTTATTTTGAAGCTGGGTATTATGTAGTTCAGAATGGCCTCAATCATGCTATGTAGCTAAGGTAGTTAAGGATGACTTGACTCCTGATCCTTCTACCTACACTTCCCAAGTTATGGGATTACAGGCATTTGCCAACACATCCAGCTATTTCTCATTTTTTCTATATGCTTTATGATTTTCCAGTGCTTAGAGAAGATTTACTTTCTTAAACTCAAATATATTCTTTAAAAAGGGAACAAGTGGGGCTGAAGAGATGGTTCAGTGGTTAAGAGCACTGGCTGTTCTTCTAAAGGAACAGAGTTCAATTCCCAGTACTGGCATGGTAGCTCACAACTGTAACTCCAGTTCCAAGATATGACACCCTCACACAGGTATACATGCAGGCAAAACAAACACATAAAAAAATAAAAGAAAAAAAAGTAGTCCTCCCCCCACCCAAAAATAGGAACAGGTATTTGTCTATTTAAATATATCTTCTACCATAGCACTTTATCAAACATACATATGGAGGCAGGAGGCTAGGAATTCAGGGTTACCCTTGGCTACATAGTGAATCTGAAGCCAGTCTAGGGGACATGAGACCCTGTCTTAAAAAACAGGGGAAAAAAAAAATACACTGGGGCAAGAACTAAAAAGCCAACTGCAAGTCCACAAAATGCAGGTCCACTGTGGATGGCTAAGAACAAAGACACCTGTCTGTCGCTCCTGATAAGTTGCACACACAGTCATCCAAGGGCAGCAAGGTCAACAGCCTTCTTTACAGAAAAGGACCTTGATACACACCCATGAGGTCAGCAAATCCTCCCACTGGCAATCGGCAGGTTCCAGTAACGAACTGCAGAAGTCTCATCCTCTTCTCGTTATCAATCTCTTTAACAAACTGTTAACATCACATTCAAGGAGAGATGTTAAGTTATGTTATATACAGCTCACTGAACAACAGAGAAAAATGATCACTTCAAATCTTAAATGAACTCGGGATGTCAGCAACACTAGACAGTAAATTTATCCATACCCGTCAAAGCCTCAGCAGCCTCCTTTACTAGACCTCAGGATAGGATCTCTAAAAGCTCTTGGCTCTGTTTTTCTAGGGCAGTCTTTCCTGTTCCCCGGAGACGTGTCTGTCCTACAGCACATTCCTGTGGTTACTCAGGACACAAAACTCTAGTATGAATAAATCTCTTGGTTTCATGAACAAATCAAATAAAGCTTATGAAATGCAACAACCCCTTTCCTCAGTATCTTAAGGTATTTGTAGCCACAAGTAGCCAGACATATAAGGTTTCTAGCAGATGTTTATATCCTGCAGCTTATTTTGGCTGAGCAACATATGTTCTTGTAAGAAGTATGTCCCCTTATTTACTGTCAATTACTTATTTAGTTATTTTTTGAAAAAAGGATCTTATGAGCCAGGTTGTGGTGGCACACACCTTTAATACCAGCACTTGGAAGGCAAAGGCAGGTGGATCTGTGTGAGTTCACAGCCAGTCTGTAGTCCAGGCTGCCCTCAAGCTTGCTATATAGTTGAGACTGTCCTTACACTCCAAAATCACTGTTTTAGCCTCCTAATTATGCTAGGATTATAGGCATGAGCCACCAATCCGGTTTCTTGTTAATTATTTCAGTTCATCTTTGTGTTTCTTTCCTTTTTTTTGGTGGGGGGAGGATTCAAGACAGGGTTTTTGAGTGCCTCTCTGTAGATCAGGCTGTCCTTGAACTCAGATCTGCCTGCCTCTCCCTCCCAAGTGCTGGGATTAAAGTTGTGTGCCACCATGCCCAGCTTCATCTTTGTGTTTCTTAATACGAATTTTGTTACATATATAGAGGACATTTTAAATTCTATTTTAAAAATTGTGTTAAATGACCAGTTAGATGGCTGAGTGGACAAGGTGCTTGGCAACAAGCCTGATGATCAAGTTCAATCCTCAGAAGCCACTTGACAGTTGTTCTCTGAGTCCATATGCAAACCATGCCATATATGTACACACAAAAAACAAACAAATAGATATAATACTTAGGGAAAATATATCTAACAAAATCTGCCCTGTTATTTTTGTGGGGGTATGTATATATATACTTGACATATGAATATGTACATACATGTTCAGATGCAAATGTTTATGTGTGGAGCTGGAAGTCTATCCTAGGTGTCTTCCTCAATGGCTCTCCACCTTATCTTGTGTTATTTTTTCAAACAGTCTCTCATGGAACCTGCAGCTTGTCCTTTCAGCTACACTAGATGGCTGGCACACCTTAGGGATGCTCCTGTCTCTGCCTTCCCAGCTCCGGCATCAAGGTGTATGCTGCTGTGTCCAGCTTTCTTTGATTACAAGCACATTATAGACTCAGCCCTATTCCGAGCTCCCCATGTTAATAATTCTAAGTGTATAATACAGCAGCATTATATACATCCACACTATTAATTAACTATCTTGAGAATTTTTTCACATCCTAAATAAAACTCTCTCCCTATAAAATGTTACCTCAATCCTACATTCTACTTCAATAAATTTATCCACCTAAAGTAGAATAACACATGTGCTTTCTGCATATAGCTTTTCAATTACTGAAAAATTGACACATGCCTATGCACCTGGGAGGTAGAAAGCAGAAGGGTGATAGGTCAGAGCTCATTACATAGACTGGGCTGGCCTGGAACTTACAGTGGTCCTCCAGCTTCCTGAGGATTGAGATTAGAGATGTGTGCCACCAAGCCAGGTCTTAAAACTCGCTTTTTTTCCTCAGGACAGGGAATTGAACCAGGGCCTGTGCACACTAGGCAAGTGCTCTATATCAGAGCTATGTCACCAGCCCCTGATGATTTCTTGAACATCCCTCCCTCAGCCTCAGTGTTTATGATTGGATTTGGGGCCTGGAGCATGTTAAGTCAACTATACCTCCAGCACAAAATTCATGTTTTTCCTGTTTCTGAGACAGATGGCTAAGTAACCTAGGCTTCTCTTGAATTTATAATCCTTCTGTTTTATCCTCTAGGACAGTGGTTCTCAATCTGTGAGCCACAACCCCTTGTTAACCCTTCATCTCCAAAAATACTTACATTACAATTCATAACAGTAGCAAAACTAATTAAGAAATAGCAATGAAAATAGTTTTATGGGGTCACCACAACATGAGGAACTGTATAAAGGGTAGCAGAGTTAGGAAGGTTGAGAACCACTGGGCTAAGACCTGTAATTACAAGCGTGAGATACCATGCCCAGCTCAAAATTCACACTGCTTTACAGCCTTATGCTGAACTACACATCAAAAGTTTCATTCATTTTCAGGGCTAATTTCTATTAATGTACACACCACTTTTTGTTTGCTTATCCATTAAAATGCAGGTAGGTTTATGGTATGGAAATGAATACTTGGTATGGGTATGGTTTTTCATTTATTGATAAAAATCCAAGGTCAATTTTGTGATGTGTATATTTCTCCTCTTGATTAAGTATTGTGCTTATACTGATCTTTTAAAACATAATGCATAATTGAATACAGACTATAGATAGTTACTTATAATAGAATTTTTAGTTAGGTAAGTTAGGTTTACTAGATATACAGAAATATATTTGAGATAGATAGTCTTCAAACCTTTCAAAGACCTTCAGAAAATGGCATTTAAAATGGTTTAGGATTTTTCTTGACAATGAGATATGTCTGCCCCTGGCACACCAATTACGTCTGGGAGGAAGATGGGCATCGAAGAAACTCGTTGTGGAGTTTGCTTTCAACATGGCAAGATTGGCCATTTGGGCAAGAAACTGCTCTTGCCTGGACTGCTGGACTGTTGCTGTATAAACTGGACATGTAGGATCCACAGGAAAGTGACTGCTGAACTCAAACAATCCTTCAGGGTTCCTGCTTCATGGAAGAGTCTACTAGACTTTGTACAGGACACAGAAAAATGACTGACAGATTGCCAATGCAGATGGACAGTTTGAAATCTCCTGCTTTGCTGAGAAGTCTTCTGGACACATTGTGGCCTATGGGCTGAAGATGAATGCCCCAACGTTACAGAGGAACTTCAGGTGACTGTCCAGGTAGCGAGATGTCTCTGTCAATCCTAGTGTTTATATATTGTCCTTCTGTGGTCTTTGATGGAGTTGAAGACAGATAATTATAGTTTTCCTTAGTTATGATAAAAGATAAGCTACATATAGAACTTTGGACTCACAAGGATGGGATGAATCATATTTTCTTTAAATCTTGCTGAATGTTGATAAACAAAATATTTTTAACTGTGTTCTTACTTGATAACTGTTCTGTTATATATAATTTGACTATGTTAAAGTTAAGACCTTTTTTTTTGTTTAGACAGAAAAGAGGAGATGATGGGGAAGTCCTGTGTATATGTCAATAAAGCACTGTTGGCCAATAGGGAAGCAAGATAGGTGGGACTAGGAGTCCAGGAGGACTCTGGGTAGGAGAAACACGGGAGTCACGATGTAGCCCGCCAGAGAAGTAAGATGTCTGGAACTTTTCTCCGATAAGAGAAATACTTAGATTAACAATTATGGGATAAATACTTAAGTCAGAGCTAGTAAGAAACAAGCAAGGCCAACAGCTTCATAATTAATACAGCGTCTTGTGTGTTATTTGGGGACTACAATGCAGCAGAGCCCAGGCGACTGGTGGGGAAAAACCAAAGCTGCTGGTAAGGAAAAGGCTCTCTCTACATAGGTTAACTTTGCCTTTGGGTGAGCTGGAACAACATTGCTATAATTACTGGCATGCAGCAATATCTGCTGCGGTCTCTGGATTTAATTCTTTTCCGGTGAAACCAGTAAATCATGTATGTTAACTGTATATTTAAACTATTCTTGTTTTGTTTGGTTTTTGTTTGTTTTAATTGGGGGGGACTCAATACAAGGTTTGTGTAGCTCTGGCTGCCTTAGAACTCATTCTGTAAACCAGTTGGCCTTAAACTCAGAAATCCATCTGCCTCTGTCTCCTGAGCACTGGGAATGAAGGCATGCATGTGCCACTACTGCTGGGCTCTTGTTTTAAAGACAAGATCTCTTTATTGGCTGAACAGCCCAGACAGCAGGCATTTTTTGAGAGTTCTCCCTATAACCCTAGCCCTGATCTTCTAAATCTGCCATTCAAACATTACATAATTCTTAATGAAGTAGCAATGATAAAAGCCATACTTTATAGTTCCGTAAAATTACAAAATTATTGATGTCAAATATAAATGAATCTTTCTTTTTATAATTTTTTAGACTTACTTATTGTATGTGCAGGAGGGGTTTACCTGCACGTGTGTATGTGGATGGTTGTGAGTCACTGTGTGGGTGCTGGGAACCCTGCAAAAACAGGTGCTCTTTACTAGCGAGCTCTCTCTAACCCTAATGAGTGAGTCACATACTCTGGCATTAACTTGTACTCTGGCAAAGGTACAAGGTAAGTGTTACTCAGTAACAGTCTTCTGAGGATTCTGTAAAAAATCATACTCACTTGTTATAACATATTACTGTAATGCACACACAGCATAAAACAAAAATTCACAGTTTGTTGTGTCACTTATTTTGGTAAATTCTAAAAAAATAAAATAAAATAAAATGTATGCTGTGTCTGTCCATAAAAATAAATTTAGAAACAAACCTGCCAAAACCACATGATTTGTTTGCTTGTCCTAGTGTAGTGACGATAGATGGCATGTCTCTGCCAGTCATTCAAATCAATCTCTTGCATTCCACACAAAAGGACCTATACAAACAAAAAAACAAAAAACAAGTTGTTACTTTAGGTAACCAAAAATGTTTTACATAAATAAGACTAACATGAAACATAGCGATTGAAGCAAACCTCAGTAAGCCCTACACCCTGAGTCCTGTCCATGTGACTCAGACTCCTAGTCTCATGACTCAAGAAGGGCAGCTCCCATGTATGAGGTAACACATTGAGGAAAATGGTTACTGAATTGCAGAAAAACCTAATATCGAGACTTTTTAAACAGAGTTTTTAAAAAATATTATTGACTTATATACATGTATGGATGTCTGTCTACATATGTTTATGCACTTCTAGACAGCCGGGCACCCTCAGATCTGGGAACTGAATTTAGGTCCTCTGGAAGAGCAACAGTGCACACAACAGCTTTTTTCAGGTAATGTTCTTTTTTGTTTCAGTATAAATTAAGGGTGTTTCAAATACCTGTTACCATAAAAAAATACAAATTCCACTAGACAGATGAAAATTGGTTTTAAAATAGATACCCGAGGGCATTTGCTAGTGCGTTGGAGTACAGAAAAACTCATTACCTCTAACTCCTTTGCATCAAAATATTGTAAATATTGCTGGGGAAGAATTTCATTAAAGCCCTCAAAGAAAGCTTGTGTCTGTTCTTCAACACCTCGAGACAATCTCCACTCAGCTACCATCCTGGCAAACAAGAATAGAAATTGTATTAGGAAGTTAAAATTTTAATTTTAAGTTCTGCATATAAAAATAAAAATGTAAATGATATTCTAAAACCCTGAAATATACATAAAAATTAGAGTAACATGAACGCCTTTTTGTAAAAGAGGGTCTCATAACGTAACCCAGGCTGTCCTGTAACTCATTATGCAGCCCAGCCTGGCTTCAAGCTCAAGGCAATCCTCCTGCCTTCGCTTCAGAATGGCTAGGATAACAAGTATGCACTACGATGCCATATTTGAAAATATTTTTTTAGGGAATTACTTTCTTTAAACTCTTCTTTACCAAAAAAAATTGCAGCTTTCAACAGTTAAAATCATATAGAAATTTTACTTTGTTTCAGAATATTTTCTTTAAAAAAAATTTTAACAAGCAAACAAATGTATATATTTTAGGTATCTGAGTTCTTGACAACAACTAACCCAACAATAGAAGCACATATGTGCAAAAGACAGACCATATACTGGTTTAAACAAGTTTCAAAACAGAATGTCATTTTAAAGAATGTTCTCTGACCAAAAATTATCAAGTTAGAAAAACAAGAGAAAAAAAAAGCAATTGGGTCAAGGTGGTTGATTGGCACTTTAAGGACTCACTTTTGTTTTTTGATCTATTTGATCTATTATGAGGCTCCCCCAACACACACACACACACAGAGAGAGAGAGAGAGAGAGACAGAGACACAGGGAGAGAGGCCTAGAGAGAGATAGAGAGAAGCCTAGTGAGCTTTGCTTGTTTCAGACAGGCTCTCTCCTAGTTCAGGCTTGCCTAGAATTTGCTCTATGGACAAAGATGACTTTGAACTTTGTCTCTCTGTCTTGTTAACAAGTGCTAGGACTGCAGATATATACCATGATGCCTGGAACAAGTTAAATCTCTTAGAAAACAAAAAATGATCCTGTGATGGTGGTTCATTCCTTTGATCTCAATCACTCAGGAGGCAGAGGCAGGAGGATCTCTGAGTTTGAAGTTGGCCTGGTCTACAGAGTGAGTTTCAGGAAAACCAGAGCTACACAGAGAAACACTGTCCAGAAAAACCAAAAGTAAAAACAAAAAATGCTAGTAAAAGAGGATATCCATGCTAGGAGTGGTGGTGCTGGCCTTTAATCCCAGCACTGGGAAAGCTGGAGTGGGTAGATTTCCACAAGTTTGAGACCAGCCTGAACTGCAAATAAGGTCCAGGCTAGCCATGGCTACATAGACCCTATCGCAAATAAATAAATAAATAAATGATTCACCATGACTTTCTACTTTTAAAATCCTATTTTAAGGTTGACACTAGAAATGAAAAATAATTGTTTACACAAATGTGTTTACCATAAAAGCAAACAATATTTTAAAACTGTCACCTTTTAACTACTATCAGATAATCATTAACAAAAAGGCTAAACTCTGTCAAAGGAACATTGGCTCATTTTCTAAAAAAGACGAATATTTATTGTGTATATGCCACATGTGTTAGTGTCCAGAGGACAGGAAAGTGTTGATGCCCTGGAGCTCCAGTTCCAGATGGTTGAGAGCAGTCTGAAAAGGGTACTGTGAACAAACTTAGGGTCCTCTGGCAGAGAAGCAAGTACTGTTCACTGTTGAGTCATTCCCCCTAGCACCCCTTTCGTTCCTCCTTTTAGGGATACTGCCTCTTACCTGATGTATTCCTCCTTATTTTCTTCTGTCACAAGAATATTGCCACCATTGGGTTTCAAATCATGACTCTTAATTTCACCTAGAATTTCTTTATCAACAGAGAAGTACATTTCCAAACCACATTCTTCAATATTGTTTTCTCTGCACAAATGAAATTGGCATTATTTGTTATACATACAGATTGATCATAATTCAAAAGTTTTAATTAAATTCACCTTTTGAATTTAAGTAATAAGTCTTAAATTATGACAACAAATTCAAAGAAACAAAATATTATAATCATATTACCTAAGACTTTGGGTACACTTCTATAAAATTATCATACTGAACATGAGAAGATCTGATGTCATATCATTTAAATTCAGTAAAACAATGACATGATTATAAAGTGGAAAACTTTGCTAGCACCATAATGAAAGCACACCGACTGTATTTTAATAAATGTAAAAAGAAACTTACTTAACCCAGATGAGAGAATTGTAAAATTCTGGATCAATAGATTCCAAATCCTTAAGTCCAACTGGTTTGTTCAAGATACGTTTATAGAATGGTAAAGAAAATCCGGTATCTATAAATTTTCCATGGAATAGAGCCTATACAGAAAGGAAGCAATACTGTTTAAGATACCTGTATAAAAGTCATTAAACATCAAAACATTAGATACATTTTCCATTCAAAAAATTGTTGAGGCTGGGCATGGTGGCACATGTCTTTAATAGCACTCCAAGACAAAGGTAGGCAGATCTCAATGAACTGGAGACCAACCTGGTCTACAGAGTGATAGTGAAGCCAGGCAAGGCTATATAGTGAGGCACTCCCTCAAAAACAAAACAAACAAACACATATGTGTGTGCACACACACACGCACAAACAAACACATATACACAGACACACACACACAGAGACGATGAAGACCTCACTTCTCTAAAACCTTTATTGTAAGAGGCTCAGCAGTTGAGAGCACTTGCTGCTCTTCCAGAGGACCAGGTTTAATTCCCAGCACCCTCATGGTGACTCATTATTGTATGTAACTCAGGTACCAGAGGATCTTATTTCCTCTCCTGGCCTCCACAGGCATCAGGCACGTACATGGTGCTCAGACATACACACAGGCAAAAGACCCAGACAGATAAAATAAATAAAATTATAAATTCTGTCACGACGGGTAGAAGTGGCACATGCCTTTATTCCCAGCTCAGGAGGCAGAGGTAGATGGATCCCTATGAGTTCAAGGCCGGCCTGGACTACAGAATGAGTTCTAGGACAGCCAGGGCTATACAGAGAAACCCTGTCTCAAAAAATTAAAAGGAAAATGTGGGGGGGGGGGATTCTCTCACATGATCTGTTATACTACACAAAAATTTAGTATTGCTGAATGAGTAAGTGCAGTTTTGTACCTGTACTTACCATGGCAATAAATCTGCCAATAAATCGGAAATATTTCAGGTGGTCTGGATTGATGTAAGAAGCGGGGTTTATCTGCAGACAGTAGTTATCCTTCCCTGCATATTCAAACAGGCAATACATTGGGTTCAACACTTCATGTGACAAAAGAAAGAACCATTCTCTGAAATCAAAAGAAAACTCAGGATGAAAAGTCTTGTAGGAAACCAAGTCAACAAATCACAAAGCAGCAATACATTAGAGTTGTCAGGAACCTGCCTGCCTCAACTGCAATGCTTTCCTAATTTCTTGTTGGTTTTTCTTGGCTCTGTTCAAACTACATTATGTTACATGGGATATTTATATGCTCTCAAATTTCAAATGATCGGCTGGGCGGTGGTGGCGCACGCCTTTAGTCCCAGCACTCAGGAGGCAGAGGCAGGCGGATCTCTGTGAGTTCGAGGCCGGGCTGGATCGATAGCCTCCTAAACAATACAGAGAAACCCTGTCTCGTAAAAACAAAAACAACAACAACAACAACAACAAAAAATCAAATGATCTTATATATCATTAACTTTAAGGACCCTTACTTGATTGACTATTTTCTACCCTAGCTTTTCAAAGATATTAAAATGTGGAAACTGCTAGTTGATATAATTTTATACAGACAAGTTTAAAAATTACTATTGTCCCAGGTAATTAGAGCAGCTGAATTACAATTCCCAATTCCATCTTCAATTAAGTCTCATTTTCACAGGGAAAATATGTATTCTAGCCACTCATCTATTAGAATAATGCCCTGAGAAGTTTACTCTTGCTGTGACAGAGATGGAAGGATTTGGGGGGTGGGGGGCACAGGCACGTAAATTCAGAAGTCAAAGTTGGTCCTCCTTCTACATTATGTGGGTTCTCGGGACTGAACTCTGGTCAGCAGGTTTGTGCAATAATCATTTCACCAGTCTCCCTGAAGCTCTACTCTAAGTGACTTGAGAACACCAAGATTATGGTCACTGTGTAAAATGGAGGGGCCCATCTGGCCCAGTATACTGTGCCATCAGCATGTATCCTAGACCTCTTGTCCGGTTAGTGCACAACCTTTGGTGAGAATGTGGCAAATGTAAATACTGCTGGGCATTCTTCTGATTATGTCAGTGATTTGGCTGTCTCCAGAATGATCTAAGTGTCTGCAATATTTATTAATTCAGATTACTTCATGTATTTTCAAAGAGTTTAACTGCATTTTAGAATTTATTAAGCTATAAAAAAATTACTCAGGCTAGAGAAGGCTCAGCGGTTAAGCACAGAAACTGCTCTTCCAGAGGACTGGAGTACAGCTCCCAACACCCTATTAGGCAGCTGATATCTGGCTGCAACTCTTGCCCAAGGGATCTGATGCTGTTTTCTGGACTCTTCAAGCACAGCATTCATATGTATAAGCAGCCACCCCACACACCCATACATACATAATTACAAGTAAAATCTTTAAAAAAAAAAAAAGTGACTAGTAAGATGTACTCACCAGTTAGCATACACAAAGATTTATTTAAAAAATTCTTTAAGTCATTAAAAAAACAGTATTTTCAGTCAGGCATGGCGGCTCACGCCTTTAATCCCGGCACTCAAAAGGATCAGGCAGAGACAGGAGGATCTCTGTGAATTCAAGACAATCAGAGCTATCTCTCTACTGGCTGCTCTTTCAGAGGACATGGGTTTGGTTCCCAGTACCCACACGGTGGCTCACAACTGTCTGTAACTCCAGTTCTAGGAAAACAACCCCCTTTTCTGACCTCCAAGGGCACTAGGCAAACACATCATGCAGGCAAAAACTCATGCACATAAAAAATATAAACTGGGTGTTGATGGTGGACACCTTTAATCCCAGCACTCGGGAGGCAGAGGTAGGCAGATCTCTGTGAGTTTGAGACCAGCCTGGTCTACAAGTGCTAATTCCAGGACAGCCTCCAAAGCCACAGAGAAACTCTGTCTCAAAAAACAAAACAAAAAACCTAAAATAAAAAAATAAATATATAAATAAATCTAAAGAATTTAAAAAACAAAACAAAAAACCCAAAATATTTCTACCCTTCATAATAATCCTAGAAATACAGATATTTGCTCAAAATAACTAAAATATTCAAAATATTCAAGCTGTCTTTCTTTAAAATTCTTGCCCTTCCACATTGCTACTGCTTTGTGATTTATTTTTATTTATTTTATGTGAGAAAAGGTCTCGTGTAGCCCAAGCTAAACTTGAACTCTAGATCCTCCCTACTCCTACCTCCAAAGTGCTGGGATTAGTCATGTGCCTAAAATTATTAACTACTTAGTTTTTGTTTGTTTGTTTCTCTGTATTGTTTTAGAGGCTGTCCTGGAACTCGCTCTGTAGACCAGGCCGGCCTCCAATTCACAGAGATCCGTCTGCCTCTGCCTCCTGAGTGCTGGGATTAAAGGCGTGCGCCACCAACACCTGGCACCTACTTAGTTTTAAATATGTATTTCTTTTATTGTTTATTATCATATATGTGCTGTGTGTGTGTGTGTGTGCATGTGGTGGTCACACAACAGTTTTGGGAAGCTAGATTCTCTCCTTCTCTTGTAGGTTTTGGTAACTACACTCAGATTGCCAGGTTGTATAGAAAGCACTTTTATCCCCCGAGCCATCTTATGGCCCTAGTTAATAATTTTTTAATTTTTAATTTTTTGGTTTTTTGAGACAGGGTTTCTTTGTAGCTTTGGAGTCTGTTCAAGAATTTACTCTGTAGAGCAGACTGGCCTGGAACTCACAGAGATCCGCTTGCACCTTCCTCCCCAGTCCTGGGATTAAAGACGTGCACCACTTCTGCCTGGCCCTTGTTTAAAATTTTAAACTGGTGTAATACTGTCGTGGGATGAGCAAAACTATCTCTTGCTCAAGGACGTCGTCTAGAGTCTGAATGAATAGAGTCCAAAATGAATAGAGGAAAACCAAGGCATTCAGCTCTTTTCTCATAGTCCTCTGTGTTCTCAACACTAAGTTAATCCTAGGTAGGAACTGAGTCACCATCAACTTTCTCAGTACCCTAGTGAGGAGGAAATGACTGACACTAGCTACTGGTCAGAAAATGAAAACTTACATCTGGCTACAACTTATGTGCCCTAGATGAAGTCTTTAAAGCCCATCATCTGTAAAATCCTATCCCGTAGGGTTACTCTGAGGACAATGTGAATGATGTAGGTGCCATCAACTAGCAGTTCTTAGAAAATGGGCACTAAGCTAATGTTTGTTGAAATTCTGTAGTTGCAGCATAATAAAGCTACATTAATTTTCTATATGTCATTTCCCTGGAACATTAGATTGAGAAAATAACACTGTGAACAAAGTGTAATGATACCTTTGGAGGAAAGGACTAAGTTCTGAGTATTCATATATCACTACCTTGCTACACCTCCATAATCTAAACCTTCTTCTCCTGGGAAAATCACCCACAAACGTCTTCTCAGATCTTGCGGGCTGAAGCTCATTATCTACAAAAAATAAAGTGAGAGAACTGTAACTGCAATTGTGGAAACATCACTGTCACTTCCCACTTACTCCATTATAGGTAACTTAAATTCCACATGAAATAGAATGTTTACTATCTAATTAACAGTACAGATATAGAAATACATTATAGTAAAGTTTCATATACTTACTATATGCATCTATTTTTATATACGTTATACACTTCTACATGAAACTTACGAGTTGTTCTGTCAATTGTGTAGTGTACAAAGTAACTCTAGGCATGGTCAGGAACTGGGTGTTTTCCTCCCCTTCCTCCAGTAATGTTGGGAAGAACAGTAGGAGTAGTTATATTTCGTTTTGTTTCACAGTCAATCAAAAGATACATATCCTAACTGTCTAAAAGTGGCTGTAGACTCACTTATCTTTGGAAATACACACAGAGGGTGTCTATAAGTCTACAGAAAAACTACTCCTTTGCCTCACCCAATGGGTGGATAACAGTGTCATCTTCAGATGTGAAGTGCAGCAGTGTTACAAAGCTACAGTAGATAGGCCAATCTGTTTCTCCCTCAGTAAAATTATTTAATTACTTCTGCTTAGGAGAATCCCACAGGGGCCTGCAAGGGATACTTCGATATGATGTCTATAATTTCATCACGTGTTAAGAATAAACTGTTAATAAATATCCAAAGAAGATTGGTAAGTTCTCTCAGTTCCCTATAAAAGAGACACAGATACTCAAAACAGCACAGCCAGTTCTAACAAAATGTGGAGTGGTTGTGACTGCATGGTTATGATAAACACCCTACACGTGCCATGAGCTAGGCACTCAGCTACAAACTTGAGAGACATCACAAGGTTACAACTAGTTTGAACAATTCCCTTTACCAAGTGCTAATGAGAAGGGACTTTTTTCTTCTACACATTTCACCATAAACAGTTTTACTATGCTAATAAAAAACACCGTTTAAAGCAATTTTATCCAACATCTACGAAGAAAGCCTGTTGCTAACTTTTAAATTATGTCTTATTTTGATATCAGATTTGTTATCTTTAAGCAACCATGTTTTCTCTTACATTATAACTGCCCATTGATTTGGTATATGTCAAATATAACATGAGTTGTAAAGGTTTTAGCACATCATCATGTCACTGCAAAGCCTTTAGTTGTAAGAGCATGAAAATAAAAGGCTTGTTTAATCACGGTCTGTATCTTGTCACTAAAGCTACTAGAGAGTTATAATTTTAAAAAAAGTGACAAAAGAATAATCATGAGTATGAAGACTAGGAATGAGTAAACGCTGGGCTGAGGATGGCCATGGAGGCTTACATCAGGCCATGGGTATAAACAGAATTCTCTTAAGTGCCTCAGTTAATCGCCAAGACCCACTCTCTGTTCCTATGTCGCAGGATGCCAACTGACTTTTCTCTTTATAATAACTGAGGCTCCATTCAAAAAAGAACAAAACTCTTCCTCTGAACTCAGTTCAGCGCTAAGGAAACCACCTATCACAATATATTGCAGAAGCTTGAAAACCATCATTTCCACATCTAGTAATAAGACAAAGACCAGCAAGATCCTTTAAAAAAAAGCTCCATCCAGAGAATTTTTTTTATTCTAACACGATCTTCTAAACTTAAGTGCAATTGGCCTAATAGTGATGTCTACAGTATAGAGATAGTAAACTGACTCACTCACTGATGGAAATGAAAATTTAGACACCAATGGCTAATTTCTTTCCTACTTAAAATACATTACTTCTAAAAGAAATGTTTATCATAAAAATTCAAAGTACTACAAAAGTATAAAAACAAAATCTTTCCTCTTCTCCCTACTCATCACACATTCACATGGCTATTTCCAGGCCTCTTTCTATGACAGATTATATTTCTACCTGGGTATCATTTCAGGTCACACACTTAGCAGCTTAGACACAGAACTTGAAACTCAGTAATCATTTACACTGAAATGCAGCAAAACACTGTACGAGGACATTTGCACACTCTCACTGCAATGTACTAAGGTAGCTGGCAACACAATTAAACTGAAAAATCAAGAATAGGGGCTGGGGAGATGGCTCAGGAGTAAGTACTTCCTGTGCAAGCTTGAGGATCTATGGTCAAATCTCCAGCAACCCATGCAGAAGCTTGGTGTGACAGTGCATGCCTGCAACCCCCTGCAACCCCAGCACCAGAGGGGCAAAGACAGACAGATCCTAAGGGTTTGCTGGCTAGCTGCTCTAGCCCAAATTCAGCTACACAGGTTCAGTGAGGTGTCTTCTCTCAAAATACAAGGTAGACAATGATGGGACGAGACACCTGAAGTGCATCTCTGGCCTCCACACTTGTACTTGCATGCATGAGAGTGTCTCTCTCTGTCTCTCTGTCCCCCCCCACCCCCTTAAGCTCTAAACTTAAGAAGTTAAAAGCTAAACTATTGAGAGCCAACCATCAGTACCAGAAGGTAGTCATTATTGAGTGAACAAGACAATACCTGTTGAAAGGAATCCTCAAACAATGTTTTTCTTGTCACTGTGATCTTTATATGCTGTGGCATGGCCAGTTGCTGAAATGTAAGAACAATTTTAAAAAGTTGTTTTTATTTGAAAAAAATTATTTTACATACCAGCCCCAGTTCCCCTTCCCTACCCCTCTCCCCCATGTAAGAACAATTTAAGTCAACTCTCACCATTAAAATGGCCTAGCTAAAACCCAGAAGGAAATTTTTATTTACTTTTATCTTTGCAAATGAAAACAGATTTTGAATATGAATTTATACCATGACTGCCAACACAACTGTCAGCATTCATGCTGATTCTTTTTGATGGGAGTAAAAAGAAAATCAGACCTCATATGTAAAGTATTTATTAAAGGACTCAAGTAAGTCTTTAATTTTCAAATTTTAATTCAGAATTATGTTTCCCAGTTAATTATAAAATTTGAATTTAAGTATTTAACATAATAGTTAAATTAATGCACTCATTTTATTTAGAGCCCACACAGAAAATGATTTATTTAAACATCAGAAAAAATATTGAATATATATTTGTATGTAAATGATCACTTATCAAAGACATTTCATCAAATATTCAACATGGGGAGTTATGCCAGAGGCAAACACCTATAATTGCAGCAGTCAGGAGTCCAAGGCAGGAGGATTTAAGTTCAAAGTCACTGTGGGCTATTTAGAACACACACACACACACCATACTAGATAAGTGGCCAATTGCAACTTGTTTATCAGAAAATATTTTGGTCCTGGATTTATGCAACTTGAAAACAATAGTACTGATGAAAAAAGTCACATGTTCTCATTCAAATGACTTCTAGCTCAATCTTTTGGACAACAGAAGATACAATTATCTAATTGAAAAATATATTTCATTGTCCTAATGACTCCAATGCTTCTCATATTTGCAGAACCGCTGTATAACATAAGCAATATAAAAAAAGGAATGAGATACAGAGACACAGAGCCAACACTAACCTGACACCAGAACCGGAAATACTGAACCTTTGCCTTGAAGTCTCGCACATAGGCTATCTGAGGTCCATTGTCTCTGAAAAACAAAAGATTAACATGACATATGCAATTGCTTGTAAAAGAAATGCTACAGGAAAGCAAACACAGACACTCCCCCACCCCTGTTGCAACCCATTACTCAGCAGACAAATACAAAGGCACCAGGCAGAGCATATTCCTAATACAACTCATTTCTTTTTTGTTTTGAATGTTTCCTCAGGACTATTTTTAAGTAAAATCGTGTTGAGGTCACTGCTAGGGGAGCGTTTTCTATGTGCAGGAGAATATAATAGGGCTGGACAAAAGAGCTCCTACATAAAAATGTCACCCATCACACCTACTACTCCATCCTTTTTTCTTAACTGAAAATCATGGTCAACCAAGTGGATGCTACCTAGCACAGACATTTCCTAGTGTGTTTGTGAGACTTCAGGTCTGTCTAAGGAGCTCTAATGATAAGTCTGTAGAGGCTTTCAACAAGTCAATTTTTAAAAGAGAAAAGATATTGGCTCGGGGTGTTGCTGTTCCCCATTCCAGTGCGGCCTTTCTCAAAGTGGCAAGCACAATGAGGATGGAAGCCATGCCCTAGGGCTGTAGAACAAGAACACCAGATCGCTGGAAGCCAATGTTTGGCTGTTTCAATGTAGGATTCCATCTGATTCTGTACCCTGCAATCTTGGAAAGTTTATTAGCTCTAGTAGTTTTCTCTATATTTCTTATTATTTTAACTACATATGATTCTTAAAAACAGCCTTACTTCCTCCTCTACAGTCTGTCTCTTCTATACTTGAGATTGCCAGCACGATGCTGAGTGGCAGTAATGCTGATACATACTCTTGCTCTTGTGGAGGAATTACTTCATCATTAAGTGTGATGCTGACTGAGGCTTTTGTCTGTAATGTTGTAGGTAAGAACATTTCCAAAGCAGGGGAAAGCGGATCATAAAATGATCCTGACTTATTTTAAAAGATTCATTTATTTGTGTGTGTGTGTGTGTATGTGTGTGTGTGTGTGTGTGTGTGTGTGTGTGTGTGTGTGTTGGCCTGGATGTGTGTCTATGTACCATGTGAGTGCCCAATGCCCAATGAAGGCTGAGAAGGCACTGGATACCCTGGAACTGAATTTACAGATTGCTGTTCCATGCCATGTAAATGACAGAAACTGAGCTAGAATCCTCTCCAAGAGGAAAAAGTGTTCTTAACTACTGAGACATTGCTCCAGCCACTGATTATACCATTTCTCTCCGCTAGTCTATTTTTATGGTTATATATTTTTTAATTTAATTTAATTATCTAGGGGAGGGAGTATGTGCCAGAGGAGGCTAGAAGAGAGTACTGAATCTCACAGAGCTTGAGTTACAGGTGGTTATGATTATAGGCAAACATCATTATCTGGTTCCGGTTATCTTTAAATAATGCAGAAAAATATACTACTATTCAAATATAAGGTATTATTGTTGTAGGACTTTCTGCTATATATACCCAATCTTAATTGTAACTGTATTACTTACTTATAATTTACTGCCACAGCTCGATTATCTCTATAATTTTCCATTGGTGCCTAATTGAACTGAATTCTCAGTTTCTGTATAAACACTCAAGCTTTTAATATGCAGAAATATAAAATTCTCAGTCAAATACTATTAGCTGCCAGATGGTGGTGACATATACCTTTAATCCCAGCACTCAAGAGGCAGAGGCAGACAGATCTCTGTGAGTTTGAAACCAGCCTGTTCTACAGAGCTAGTTCCAGGACAGCCAGAGCTATTACACAGAGAAACCCTGCCTTGAAAAACCAAAATTAATTAATTTTTAAAAATGTATGTATATATGTATACACACACATATATATATATTAGCAAAAGGATTCTGACAGAATATTAAAGGATTTATGTTTTAATCCTTTTTATCACATACTGCATGGATTCTGTTAGAATGGAAGGATAGTTCAACATATGAAATCATGTAACAATCAAGTCTATATAAACATAACAAAGAGGGCCAGAGATGGCTCAGCAATTAAGAAGTTACTGTTCTATCAGAGGACCAGAGCTCGGATCATAATACACTAGGTAGTTTACAAATGTTTGTAAATCCAGCTCCACAGTCTCCTCTCTCTCTCTCTCTCTCTCTCTCTCTCTCTCTCTCTCTCTCTCTCTCTCTCTCACACACACACACACACACATACACACACACACACAAGTTTTTTTGAGGCAGGATCTTTCTCTGTAGTCTTACATGTCCTGGAACTGGCTATATAAACCAAGTTGGCTCACAAAGATCTGCCTGCCTCTGCCTCCCAAATGCTGGGATTAAAGGTGTGCAACACCACACAAAGTGAAAATATTTTTTAGTTAAAACAAAGGAGAAAAATATAAAAAGAATATCACAACTAATAGTTAAGGAATGAAAATCTCTCTAAGATTAGGTCAGAAGCTATGCAAGGATGTCTAGAATTGGAAATTAAAGCTAGAATAACCAGACAAGAAAGACAAAGGCAGACTGGGAATAAATAATGATTTGTTTTCAGATAATAAAACCTTATATGCAGAAATTGAAGATTAATTACCTTAAGAAACAAATTCAACAAATTATCAGAATATGTTAACACATTATCAGTTATATTTCTACACGTTAACAATGAATCTGAAAAAGAAATGAAGAAAACCATCTAATTGGCTGCAGGGAAGTACTCTTGTTACTGAGTGGGATCTTTTTGTACTTTTGGTTTGAGACCCATATAGGCTGGCCTTAATATTTGATCTATCTCCATCTCCCAAATGCTGGTATTATAGGCATGTGCCACCATGCCAGGCTGCATGTGCTACTAGAGACTGAACTCAGGGCTTCATGTATGTAGACAAGCACTATTCCAACTGAGTTACACCTTTAATCCCTTCGTTACTAATTAGTCACTGGTAGTGTACTCAGTCAATTCATTTTCTTCCAATAAAAGGAAAAAAAAATTCAATCTGCTTATTTACCAACTGAACTATAGTCCCATCTCTAACTCTCTTTAACACATTTATTACATTTATTATTTATTTATTTATTCATTGTGTGTGTGTGTGTGTGTGTGTGTGTGTGTGTGTGTGTGTGTGTGTGTGTGTGTGTGTGTGTGTGTGTGGTCATGCTGATGCCACAGTGCTCCAGTGTCAGGGGACAACTTATAGGAGTCAGTTATCTCCTTCAACCATGTGGATCCCAGATATCAAACTCAGGTCCTGAGGCTTGGCAATAGGTGCCTTTACTCACTGAGTCATTTTTGTGTCATCTCTTGCACACCCACTGCGAGATATATATGCCCTGAGACAGGGTTTCTCTGTATAACAGTCCTGTCTGTCCGGGAACTCACTATGTAGACCAGGCTGGCCTTGAACTTACAGATCCATCCACTTGCCTTTGCCTCCCTAGTGCTGGTATTAAAGGCATGCACCCCTATATCTGGCTTAGTGCCCCATTTTCAATAATTATTTTAGAGTATACTTCTACTAGCATAAAAAGTTCAGCCAAGTATGATGACATGCACTTTTTTATTCCCAGCACTTATGCAGCAGAGGCAGATACCTCTGTAAATTCAAGGCCAACCTGGCCTACACTGCCAGATTTACATAGTCAGACTATCTGATTATGTAAACAGCCATATTATACAGGCTAAACATTACACACTTTGTGCTTACTATATATCTGGACTGCATATTTTTTTTTTCAGTGCTTTATTTAATCTTGTGTTTGGTTCATCATGATTTTAGGAATACTAGGTCATACCTAGGCAAAGTGTACATGACATATAGTCTAGGCATATAGCAGGCTTAATCCATTAGGCTTGTGAAAGCATAGTCTTCAATGCTCACACAGTGATGCATTTCTCATAATGGATCAAGTGACTCCTGTTAATATATAAAGAACTCCTAAGCTGAGCATAGTGTTACACCTCTTTAATACCAGTAAAAGCAAAAGCAGATGATTTCTGTAAGTTCAAGGCCAGCTTGGTCTACAGAGTGAATTCTAGGTCAATCAGAGCTATAAGATGAGAACTTGTTCCCTACCCTGCCCCGCACCCAAATAAACAAAACCAGTAGGAATTGGTATTCAGAGACCTAAGGACAAGCCTTCACAAGTATACCTCATCTTTGCTTACTAAAATCTTTGTTAAAATCCAAGAAATTAGTTGTGCTTTTAACTAGCAATGTTTAGAAAACTTACAGGGCAGACTTTCCTGTACGTGGATCTATGTAAGTGGTTGTTCTTTTATTGTGGTCCACAAAATACGGAATTCCATCCACTGTAAATCTCATTTCCCAGCCTTCTGGTAATGGTTTTTCATTTAATTGACTATAAAATACAGAAGAAAATAGAAACAAAATATATTAAAGACTTGCTTCTTTGCCAAAAACAGAAACTATAAATAACCTGTAAACAGAATAAAATCTTTCAGAAAACCTACATGGTCCTATAGTTTCAGATAATAGATATCTCTACCCAGGCAGTCTACAAACATATTAAAGTCATCATCAACAACATTAAAAATGAATCATCATATTACTCTTCCATCTACTTAATAACTCACCTCAAACAGCCATGGTACCCAAGCTCCCCCAATTCTGCCATTGAAGTCTTTCTATTCAACCCTTATCTTTGATTCCCACCATTACTCTGGTCTTCTTCATCTAAACTTTCCAAACAGATACCTACATGGTTCTGCTGCTGTTAGTCTCATTCAGGCCTACATACCGATCTTGTAAACAAAGCATCTCCCTAAAACAAATCTCTCGTCAACTCAGTCTCTCTTCTAGACTCCCACGCAGATTTCTCCAGTGATCATGTTCCTAAACAAGTATATCTGTAACAGTTCTGCATGACATCTTCCCCCATTGACAAATCTATTTTCTCTGTTAAGGCAACTTAAAAGTTTTTTATGAAATATCCCTATATGCTTCATTAACATCTATCTATATACCCTGAAAACTCTGGGATGCCTTCTTTAAACTTCAGGCTTTTTATCCATAAAATGCAGGCAACAGCCAGATGTGGTGGTGCATGCCTTTAATCTCAGTACCCAGGAGGCAGAAGCGGGGGCACGGGGCCCAGGGGGCCAGGGAGATTAGGCAAAGTGAGGCAGAGAGAGAGGCAGAGGGAGTCAGAGAGAGAGGGGCAGAGACACATGGGTGGAGAAGGGCAGAAGCAGAGGCCAAGGCAGAGGCAGAGGCCAAGCTATTAACTGAGCTATAACACACCTTCCTACTCCTCCACCCCCGTTATCCCCACCCCACTCCCCGTTTGGAAGTTTCTTCTTCCAAAGTATGTAGATGATTAGTGTTTGAGGTTGCTGAGGAAAGAATACATAAAATGAGTCGAAAGTAGGTAGGCAATCTCTAGAAGCCACACATACAATGAAGTTCTTACCCTTGACTTCTGGGGTCTTCCCACTGTGTAATTCGAGTGTTGTGGTTGACAAAATACACTCTGCCATTGCTATCAGTTCTCTTCTCTTTATTAAACAAAATGAAAAACACAATATTAATGTTGGAATAGTCTTTTCCCCTCAAACTAAGATTAAAAAAAAAATCTGACCATTTAGTGACTACTGATTTTATAATTTCTGTATCATATCACACACACAAAAGCTTAGTGCTTGAACATATGACTTTCTTCCATCTCATTAGCTCATTCACACTTTTGAGAGTGCTTTCTCTTTCTTAATGAAGCTATTAAATATTATTTCTGAGTTGGGAAAGATGGCTTAGCAGTTAACAACACTTACGCTCTTCTAGAGGACCCAAGTTCAGTTCCCAGCACCCACATCAGATGGTTCACAACCATCTGTAACTCAAGGGCACCTGAACTTATGTGCACAAATCCACATACAGACACACATAATTAAAAACCATTATTTTACAAATTAAGTAAAATTTCTAAGATGATAGAAAGATTTAAATCATAATGCCCTGCCCATGTAGACACCTCTCAGCTATTTAGCTTTTCACAAATAACATTTGGGTTTGTTTGTTAAATTAGGTATGACTTAGGGTATTATGAGTACTAGGTAAGCAATTTGTGCCTGAGGTAATTCCTTAGCTCTACCTCACATAAATACAGAAGGTAAAGGCAGCTTTTGCAGGCAAGCTTTGCTATAACAGTGACAAACCCCACAAGTCAAACTTTTGAGACCAAGAAGTGGTTTTTCCCTACAACTGCTTCAAGAGTAAAAATAGTCTGTTAACAATCATCTCCATAAAAATAAGTCATAGTTCTTTTGCCATAAAATGAAGGGTGAGGGCAGGAAAGATGGCTTAGTGGTTAAGAGTACTGGCTACTATTACGAAGGTCCCATGTGGTGGCTCACAACTGCTCGTAACTCTAGTTCCAGATCTGATGCCCTCTTGTGTGGGGACCAGGCACGTACATAGTATACAGATACATATGCAGGCAGAACACCCATATACATAGAATAAAAATACACATAATCTTAAAAAACAAAGTGAGGACAGGGTATAAATGTATAACCTTCTAAATTCTTTTAGTGAATGTCTATGCAAAACATACACAGAATAATTGTAGAAACAAAGCACACAATCTATGTCTAGGAATTCAATCTGACAGGTTAGGTTCAACACCTAAAGGCCATATACCCTTCTCTAAAGCATTTTGTTTTGTTGTCTTGTTCTGTTTTGAATCAACCATACTCTAACCCTTCTACTACCCTGACCACCAAAACTCCACTTCTGGACTACCAGGCTTTGGTGAAGATAGGAACAACTTTCATATGACCTCTCTTTGTTACAAGAAAATGATGACAAGCTCCAAGTACAGCCTAACATATTTTGCTTTAACCTTCTTTATTTTGTTTCTTGTGGGTGTATATACATGCATATGGAGCCCAGAAGACAACCTCAGGAGTGTTCCTTCTCAGGCACTATTTACCTTGGTTTTTTTGAGACAAGAGTCTCTCACTGACCTAGGACTTACTTGATTCAGCTAGTTAGCCTGGTCAGCTAGTAAACTCCAGGGATCCTCTCAAATATCTCCAAGATTATGAGTGTCTGGCAACACACAGTAAACTCAGCTTCTCATGCTTGAACAGCAACAAATTTATGACTATCCCTTTGTCTTTATTTGGTTGAGTCAGATTTTCTGACAGTTTTGGTCGGTTTTAAACTCATTGTATAGCCAAGGTTGACCCAGAACTCCTGATCCTTTAAAACTCCCAGGCCCTTGGATTACAGGCATGTACAAGCCATCATAATGGGCTATCACCAACATGTTTTGAGTAGTGCTGTGGAATAACCCTCCTGTACACTGTGAAGATGTGCTGTCCTCATTGTTAATAAAAAGATGATTGGCCAATGGCTAGGCAGAATTTTGCGGACAGAGAGGATGCTGGGGAGGAGAAGCCATGAGATGCACAGCAAACAAGATGAAAAGTACACAGATGAGGTAAACAAGCCTCAGGGCAGCATATAGATCAATAGAAATGGGTTAATTTAAGTTATAAGAGCTAGCTAAAAAAAACTCAAGCCTGCATTTCAGCCAAGCATTTATAATTAATAAGTCTCTGTGTGCTTATTTGGGGAGCAGCTGGTGGGACAGAGCTGATCAGCAGTCTAGATGAAAAACTCTGCCTACATAGTATACATGATTTTAAGGAAAAAACAATGGGATTTTTCATAATGGATTATTATATGCCACCATGTCTGGATTCCCTAAGTTTTTGAGACAAGTCTCCCTGAACTTGAAGGTCATCAATCTGACTAGGCTAACTGACCAAATGAGTTTCAGGGATCTGCTGGTATCCTCAGCCCACGTGAGATTGCAGACTTGTGCTACCACACCTGGCTTTTTACCTGAGTTCTGGGAATTCAGTTTAAGATCTTCCTGTTTGCATGGCCAACATCTTTCCAACTTGAGCCATTTCCCCAACATAGCCTCTTTTCATTATAAAGGATCTTGCCTCAAGTATTTGGTGATAGTAATAGAAACTGGAGCCGCAAGAGTAATATGATTGTTGCGATCTTGTGAAATTGGTTATCTTCTCTAAGCACCAGCATCACTGAGGTCCTTCCAGATTGTTGTATCAATGATGTTTCTTTTCACTTTGCAGTGCTAGTGACTCAACCCAGAACCCTGCCATGCTTCACGAACATTCTATCTATCTACTGAGCAGCCTTCTATCTTCTAAATAACAGACTTTAAATTAAAACTGATGTGCTTACCCCATCCAGGGGGCAGAGGACCAAGGGGATCAAATTCTTTATTTTGTGATGTAGCAAACAAATCTTGATTCTATAAAGAATAAAAAAATGAAAAATTAGACAAATAATCCACAACAAATACATCATTTCAGAACAAATATATTCACATAGGAAAGTTCTATTTTTGGTTAAAAAAAAACTTTGAAAACTATGTAATATAACACTTGAAGTTATGTAAAATTAGGATAGCATATAAACTATATAAATTCTTACCTGCAAATTACTAGTTTTTCCCTTGTGCTACAGAGTTTCCTCTACTAGGAACCTAAAAATTGCACTTATAAACCCAGTACCACTTATAAAACCAGTACCTGGAATGATCAGATAGCTGAGAAAAGTCTTGCATGTGTACTCAAAACCAAAAGTTCACACACACACAGACAGAAGAGAGTTGGGAGTAGAGAGACAACAACAAAATGCCATCAAGGCAATGAAGTACATGTCTATTTCACTTAAAAGGTAAATGAGGTTAAGTAGATCATCCAAAATTACTCAAAGTAATTGTGGATAGGAACCAGATGTACCTGACTCCACAGCCATTGGAGATTCATGTAGAACTAGGGTTGGAAAAGGGGGGCAAGTTAAGGAACCATGCCTACAAGAAATTTGCCTATAATAATTTAGACAAAAACTAAAATGTTAAACAACAGACAGACCTAAAAAGAAAATGGACAGGATACGTCTGATACAAACATATAATCCTAGCTATTTAGAAGGCTTAGCAAAGAAGATCTCACGTTGAAGGCCAGCCTGGGAATTTAGTGAAATCATGTCTCAAAATAAAATGTAAAAAGACTAGGGCAGCCAGGAGAGTCTTGAAGAGCAGCAACAACGTCTCTACACTACCCCCATGGCCGTGGGCCCTAACAGATAGAAGAAGGTGATAAAGAATAGAAGGCTGAGGCATGGCCAGTGCTGTGGACACCTCACCAAGCACACATTTGTGTGGTACATAATTTGGAGGATATGTGGCTTTGTGCCTATGAGCAGTGCACCATGTCAGTGCTACAGAGGTTGCTACGGCCAAGTAAGGGCTACACATCCATGCCCAGAGGAAGTGCAACAAGCTGAGTAGAGTGTTGGCAGCCACAAGAACAGCAGATGCCACGGTCTAAGTCTACATATCCTCTCTCAATAATCACCCCTGATGAAAGCATTCTCTCTCTCTCTCTCTCTCTCTCTCTCTCTCTCTCTCTCTCTCTCTCTCTCTCTCTCTCTCTCTCTCTCTCTCTCTCTCACACACACACACACACACACACCACATATACATGACAAAACCTAATTTAACCGCTAAAACTAGGAAGGGCAATACAGGGACATGTTTCCATAAGCAGTGGTGGGAAAAACACTTATTGGAGTGAAAGGTGTCTTGATCGTAACAAAGCAGTGAAGAGCTGATAAAGATGGATTTGCCACATCAGTAATTGGTAACTATTCTAACAATGAGATCCCAGGAAACTGCAGGAGAGTCTGTAGTGACGGCTAACGATTAAGAACACTGGTCACTCTCACAGAGGACCCAGGTTCTATAACTAGCATCCACATGGCAGCTTCACAACCAGCTGTAATTTCACTCCAATCCTATGGGATCTCACACCCTCTGCCGACGGCATGTATGTGGTGCACAGACATACATTCAGGCACTCACACACATAAAATAAAAATAAAAACTTAAATAAAAGAAAAAGCAGGAAAATGGAGGAAAGGTAATGTCTAAGGAAGAAAAGTAAAGATGTTATTACTCTGGTGCATTCTAAAGAGAAGATCACGACACTGAAGTGATTGCAATGGAACGTGTCGGGTCTCCAGGCCCCTGGCAGCACTGGTTTTCTTTGGTTTAAGTTCTAAATGCTATGCCAATAAACCAACTCATTTTGGCATGGACTATTTTACTTTTCTCAGACAGATCTGTGATACATCATAACTTGAGATTATAAAATTTCCATATCACACAGCAAGAAAAGCACTAATATATTTATTTATCACTGTTTTTGAATTATCAGTCTGAAAGAAATTATGTATTTAATGTATTTGTTTGTATATAGGAAAGGTGCTTTTGTTTTTTGTCTATCTCCACCCTACTCTGCCCCATCCTGGCTGACCTGGAACTCACAATATAGGCCAGGATGGCCTAGAATTCGGGGATCCAAATGCCTCTGCCTCCCGAGTCTCCTGAGTGCTAGAATTAAAGTTATTTACCACCATGTCTGGGTAGTTTATTTTATTTTTTTTTTATCTTTATGTTTTGTTTTTGAGTTGTGTCTTGCATTCTCTGGACTGGTCTTGAACTCGAGCTCAATTGAATCATCTGCCTCAACTTCCCAAATACTGAGGTAATAGATGAACACTATCACATCCAGTTTTGAAAAGAAAATACTTTATAAACATGTATGGTATAAACATGTATAGTGTGTCACTATAAGGAATGAACACTCTTCAGTAGAGTAACACGCCAAAGAATTTAGTCGGTAGTTTCATCAGTAAGTGTTCAGTGATCCAAGTCCACTGCCATTTCTCTGCAATCACTTAAGGTGGGTTCCCTGATCCTGGAGCATTCAAATTCTCAAGTTACAGGCAGTTCTACATTTAGAATTGTTTCAATTCTTTCCAGACATGTCCATGAATTTTAAATTGTTCTAAACTTGCTTTTTGTTTATTTTTAACTCCTACAGAAAGACACAACTTACAAGATCAATACCTATGTACAGCAGCAACTGGCTCACCACTCTACTCTGTCATCTTTTTAGTGCTTTACATGACACATGCAGGCAGTTCTTAAAAACTGAAGATTTTTGTTAGTTACAATAATCAATAAACCAATAGGCTGCTTACCCCATAGATGAATCTCTGGTTAAACTGTTGCATTGCTCCCTGAAGCTGACTGCGCTGCAGCTGCCACTGCTCATAGTTCCTGACAGATTCCAGTGTTGGCCTCTGCCACGTTGTTGTTCTTGTGAAATGGTCAACATAATAAATACGTCCCATATTGTCCACACGCCGTTCCCAACTAAACCACAAAAGAAGAAACTAATTTAAGAAATATCTGTGAAAAGCACGTGAGACAAATTTTGCCTTAAGAAACCACTAAGTTTTTCTCTATGTACTTAGGACCAAATCCTGGGCCTTGCACATGCTAATCTATCACTGAGCAGCATCCTTAGCTCTTTCTGATATATCTGAACTCATTCATTCATTCACGTTTAAAAACTGGACTTCAATGCTTTTAAAACTTTGTCCTGTAAAAGCCTGTAACACAAATCAGTAAAATCTTTTAAATGTAATATATATTCAGAGAGTCTCAAAGGAAAAAGTTTTCTTCCCCTCCCCACAGTGACCTTTTCACTCCTGCAAGAATGACTAGAGACATCAGTTGTATACAGAATTTTTCACAGATGAAAAAGCAATCTGTACTACCTTTTTACTTATTTGCAGTAAAATGATAACTTCAAGATAACAAAGTTTTTTCTTCAAATTATTTCATAATGTAAAATTACCAAGTATATATATATATGTATTGATATATATAGATTGATATACATATATATTCATCTATATCTATCTGGAAAGATTTTTATAGTAGGATCAAATTACACTATTGTCAGCATTACTATGGTTAGAGTTCCTTCTCAACACTTAATATTACCTGCTAACTTAACAAGTCAAACCACACTTTTTGGGTATGTATTTCTTTAAGGGTTAGTTAATGCTAGTTAATAGCTAGCAAGATTAATATTTTTCTTTTCTTTTCTGTTTCAGATTTTTGAGACAGAGTTTCTCTGTGTAGCCTTGGCTGTCCTAGAACTTGCTTTGTAAACCAGTCTGGGCACTAACTCAAAAGATATGTCTACCTCTGCCTCCCAAGGGCTAGGATTAAAGATGTGTACCACCACTGCCTGACAATATTTGTCTAAAGATTTTTATTTATATGTGTATGTATGTGTTTGTGTGTGTGTGTGTGTGTGTGTACACATGTGTGCTGGTGACCACAGAGGTGTGGGTACTGAGAACCAAACTCACAATCCCTAGAAGAGCAGCAAACACCTTAACCATTGAGGAATCTTCAATCTCAGAGTAGACTACACCCACCATGTTTGCTATATATTCCCTTTGGGTTAAAAAAGTATATAAATAAGCATTTATATACTAAATGCTTAATACCATAGTTACCAACATTTCCTTACCTTTCTCAACGATTTGCAATGATTTTAATATATATTAGCTTCAATAACAGAGACTTTGTCTTCATATATAATAGGCACTGTAACTCTTGCCCTGGGGTGGAGGGTTGAGATAAGTCTCAACACAGGCTGGCCTTTAACATGGCCTCCTGATGCTCCAGCCTCTACCTCCCAAATGCTGACTGCAGGCAAGTGCCAACATGTTTGGTTATTATAACTCTTATTTAGTTAAATGATTCTTCTTAAAGAAACTAATTTAAAATTCTGTGGTTCTTAGCTGGGAAAACAGCCCAGATAGGAAAATGCAACTAATAAGAACTGTGGGTCAGCTCTTTAAATTAGAAATGTTAAAAGTAAAAATCATCCATCACGGTATGGAGGATAGGTGTGTACCTCAGAACTTGCAAGGCTGAAAGGTTGTTGGGATATGCAGTGACACTCTTGTCTTCAAAAACAAAATCAGTCACAACAGCAAGCCCCCCTCCCCCTTCAGCATGCTGGGAGTCAGTTTTCTATCTCTCTTCTTTCTAGTCTGGGTCTAACATAAAGCAAAACAGAGAGAAGAGGGAGAAAAGGACTGCAGGGAACACTGGGTATGGATACAATTTGTCCTTCTGGATAAACTTTTGTTTTTAAATGTACACACTTACCCAGGAGGTAGAGGTTCTGGTCTATCCCATGTTGTTCGTTTTTCAACATGGTCTACATAGTAAACACGCCCATGCTGGTCTACTCTCTGCTCCCACCTTAAATACAAATCAAAGACTAGTAAGGGCATTTTATATTAGTTTGGCTTTTTAATCCTGTCTACATCTTTTCACTTTAAATGACCATCTTATGTAACTAAGGAAAGTTAGCCTGTTAGTCTATAAAGAAAAAAAAGCAGAATTAAAATATAGACAACCGTTATCACCTAAAAAGAGAGGAGAAAGCCCCAAGACTGACATACCCCACAGGGAATGAGGTTTCTTTTTTTTTCTTTTTTTTTTTTTTTGGTTTTACGAGACAGGGTTTCTCTGTTTTGGAGGCTGTTGGTCCAGCCTGGCCTCTAACTCACAGAGATCCGCCTGCCTCTGCCTCCTGAGTGCTGGGATTAAAGGCATGCGCCACCAACGCCCGGCGAGGTTTCTTTTTCCTAAGTGTTTGCTCTGAAAATAACTTGCATTTTAAAGTCAGTCCAGCCACCCAGAAGACAAAGTTTCTCAATCTGATCAAACTGCACTAAGAACTTGAGAGGAAGAGAAAGCATCAATGCCCTGAAACTTGAATAACTTAGCTAAATGAAAGACAACATTCTGATTACATTCTAGAAAAACTGAAATCAAAGCATGTCATTGTCAGACATTACAGGAAGAGAGTTACAGACTGGCCACTGTCAGTATTCTAGTCTTCTGGGCAGGTCTGTTGCCAAAGAGAAGAGAATAGCAGCAAACCCTCACAGCTTATTATTTTAACCATTACTTGATTATCTAGTTTTATGTGTATGGGTACTTTGACTGCATGTATACATGTATACTATATGTGTACCTAATAACCATGAAGCCAGAAGAGGGCATCAGATCCCCTAAGAGAGGAGGTAGAGACAACATTAAGCAGCTATGTAGGTGCTGAGAATCAAAACCAGGTCATCTGAAGAGCAGCCAGGGTTCTTAACTGATAAGCCATTGTTCCACAACTTAAAATCTTTTTATTTTATTTATTTGTTTGTTTGTTTATTGGTTTTTCTGTAGCTTTGAAGGCTATCCTGGAAGTAGCTCTTGTAGACCAGGCTGGTCTCGAACTCACAGAGATCCGCCTACCTTTGCCTCCCGAGTGCTGGGATAAAAGGCGTGCGCCACCACCGCCTGGCAAAATCTTTTTATTTTTAATTTTATTTTTCTTACATTTATTTTATTGAATGTGTATCAGTATTTTGCCTGCATGTATATGTGCACCATGTACATGCCTGGTACCCGCAGAGGTCAGAAGAAGGCACAGAATCCCCTGGAACTGAAGTTACAGGTGGTTGCGAGCCACCCGTGTAGGTGGAAGCTGAATCCAACCCTCTGCAAGAGTAGCAAGGGCTAACTCTCAGGCCTAGATCATCTGTTTTTAAGCACAATCTTTTAAATTAGCTTGCCATGTAGTGTAGTTTGGATATAAACTGTTCCTGTCTTGCAACCACACCTACTATACCTGCTCATCACTTTGAATACTTGGTCCCCAAATAGTAGTATTCTTTTGGAAGGTTGTGGAACCTTTAGGATACAGATTCTACCTAGAGGAAGAGGGTTGCTAGAGTAAGGGCTATAACCATGCTGGCTTCTACTTAAGCTCTGCTTTCAAACTGCCACAGTGATAAGACCAGTTCCCAACAAAAGAGACCAAGTCAAAATCTCTCCCTCAAGTGGCGTTGTCAGGTTCTGTAACACTGCTGAGTACAGTAACTAAAAGACCACATACGCTTTCCAAAAGGAAAATGGCCTAGTTACCAACAAGTATAATCTGTGTAAGTAGTTTAAATGTTCACTAGGAGTTTATTACCTTATCAGTCAGCCAAATAACTTTGGCTGGCATTCTGAGCCCTGAACATGAGTTTTTGTTTTGATTTATGTATATGGCACTGAAGGTAGAACTTGGAACTTCACACATACTAGACATGCTCTACCTCTAAGCTAAACCTTTAGCCCTGACTGAGCTTTCAATTTGATCAAAGTATTAATGTTAAAAATAGGGGTTGGGGAGATGGCTCAGTAGTTAAGAACACTTGCTATTCTTACAGAGGACTCAGGCTCAATATCCAGAACCCAATTAGATGGATCAGAACTGCCTTTAACTCAAGTTCAGGGGTTCCAATATCCTCCTCTACACTACAGGCACTGTCCACATGTGGTACACATACAGATAAGGCAAGTAGATACACACACACACGCACACACACACACACAATTTTTAAAAAAATTTCAGTACAAATTAAAATGGGATTATGAAGCTAATTTATCAGTTTAAATTATTAATTGCTGTGATGATTTTATAATAAAAATATTTTATTACTTGACTTTAATTAACTTTCTATGGGTTTTAGTAGGGGTCCTTCAATAGTTGTTTTGTTTTCCAGGTGTAATGGTACACACCTGTAATCCATACTTGAGAAATAGATAGCAGAAGGATCAGTAGTTCAAGGCTATCCTCATCTACACAGTGAGTTTGAGGTCAGTGAGGGCTATATAACACTCTGCCTTGAAACACACACACACACACACACACACAAAATCCTGTTTTTGAGACAGAGTCTCATGTTGTAGCCTAAGCTGATCTGGATCTCACAATAATCCTCCTGCCTCAAACTTTCAAGTGAAGAGATTTATAGGCATGTGCTAATATACCCAGCTCAATCTTTTTTCTACTTCCCAAAAAAAGAAGAGGTAGTATTATTTAAAATATGGTAAACTTTCTTGGATTCTATACTTACCCAAATCAATTACAATTACTTAAAAGACAATTAATGAAAGAATATAGTATGACCTTTTTTAAATTAATGAACGCATGCAAAAGCTGAACGCAAATGTTAGCAGTTACTTACCCAGGTGGCAGAGGAGCTTGACTTACAGTATTCAGTGGCCTAGGGCCTGAGCCTCCAGATATAGTTAGAGGAATTATTAACCCAGATGTTGCTCCTTCAGATGTACTTGTGCTTGTGTTTACATTTGTATTTGTTGGTGGCAAAGAGCCTGTACTAGATCCGTCACTTTCAGAATTGATGGATGGTGAACCATTGACAGATGCTATGAAAGATTTAGGGAAAATATTAGAAGCTTTTGCTTTCTGAAATCTAAAATCATGATCAAATTTTAATTTAAGAATTTAAAAGTCCATAGCAAGTAAAACCTATGATGTGGATACACAGGTCTCATCAAATTACATAGCATATATAATTGTCAATATGTAAACATGCAAACTAACTACTCAGTTGTTTGATTCTTGTGGTGCAAGGTCACCATGCACGATAGGCAAGTACTCTGACTGACCTTCAACTCCTAGCCCAGTAAAAATTTATAGAATAGGAAACTATGGGTACTACCACCTTCCAGATCCTTAAAACTGCCTTCTCTGTGTGACCCTGAAGGTCTAAGACTAATTTCTGATGTTGTTAATAAGTATACTAATGCTACTGATCAGAAAACGGATATTCTATATAAATGCTCCTATATAATGTTTATATTGTTACTACATGAAATATGTTCATTTAATGACTTTTTGTTTAAAAACTGATCATCATTTACCAGAAAGCTTTAAAAAAAAATTTATCATGAGGGCTGGAGAGATGGCTCAGAGATTAAGAGCACTGGCTGCTCTTCCAAAGGTCCTGAGTTCAACTCCCAGGAGACTCACAACCATCTGTAATGAGATGGTTGCATGCAGGCAGAACACTGCATACACAATAAATAAATCTTTTAAAAAATTATCACATTTATTCACTTATATTTTGTCTCTGGCCTGCACATATGTCTGTGCACCACACGTGTGCCTGGTACCTGCAAAGATCAGAAGAGGAAACAGGAGTTATGGATGGTAGTGAACCACCATGTGGGTGACAGGAATTTAAGGCAGTTATTGCTCTTAACAGCTGAGTCCTTTTCTTCAGGCCCCCAATCAGTTTTTTTAAAGATAAAATGGACTAAGCAACCAAATTTTTAACTATAAGCTATGTCACAGTTACCAACCATTCAAAGAAGTTTCACTCTAACTGTACTGTATTGCTTATACTTTATATAATACATATTATTTTCATTCATAATAATAAAGCACTCCCATATGGAACTTCATTCCTGGAAGGAAAACTTAAAGAAAAAGCAATTTTAGTCATCTATGGAAAGATCATTCTTGGTCAAGTTTTAAATATAAAAACAAAGCTAGAAGCCAGACATGGTGGGTCACACCTGCAACCCCAGCACTTAAGAGGGCTGAAACAGAAGGATTTCTAGGTTTGAGGCCAGCCTATGTTACAGAGAAAAATTCTACTTAAACAAAACACCAACGACCTGATACTTAGCTGTCAATCAGTTCCCAAACAGAACATTATTTAAGAACACTAGGCATGGTAGTACACACTCATGATCCCAGGCTAAGGAAGAAAGCATTTGAGGCTAACATGGGCAACTTCTGGAGACTGTGCTGTCAACCCTTCCTACCAAAGGAACATATTTTAAAAACAGCACTGAAAGCTGGAATACATACCTGGTCTTCGTGGGGTGGGTGGAGGTGGTCTCGAAGGTCTTGGAGGTCTAGAAGGCTTAAAACCACCATTTGAAAGGGATGGAGAGTTGTTCCCATTTGCCCTCTTGTTTTCCCCCAACACTGCAACCTCCGGGTCATCTGATCCATTTGTGCTCACTCTGGATAAGAAGGGCAAGGAGGAGAGAGAAAAAGGGAACAAAACAAATGCTCCTTATTTATTTAAGAACACCAAGAAACCCAAAATGTATTATTTTAACAATTTGAGAAATAGTCTTTTTTTCTTTCTTTCTAATGTCAGGTCATGGTCATAGGTTAAAGTCGTATCTATTCCTTGGGATGGTGTGAATGAGAATTGCCCCACAGGCTCCTATGTTTGATTGCTTAGTCACCAGAAGTGGAACTACCTGAGAAAGATTAGAAGGTGTGGTCTTATTGAAGTAGGTGTGACACTGAAGGTGGGCCTTGAAGTTTCAAAACCCACGCCAGGCCCAGTCTCTCTCCCTGGCTGCCTCAGCTCCTGCTCCAGTGTCATATGACGCCTGCCTGCTCCCTACCAGTAACATAACTAACCCTCTGAAACTGTAAGCAAGCCCCAATTAAATTCTTTCTTTCTTAAGACTTGCCTTGGTCACAGTGTTTCTTCACAGCAATAGAAGAGTAACATCCTGACAGACAGTGAGGAGTCACTCAAGGGTCAGACTTGAGCCCATTCGAAATTACTAGGTGTGGCTGCAGAAAGGCTTCAGAATGCCTTGTATAAGCAGGAATTAAATCAAGTTCTTCAAAATTCTATTGCCTATAGGCATATGAGCACCCCTCTACATTTCCTACTAGGAAAGCCACAATCTATAAGAATGCCAAATAATCTAGCACACTGATGTGAAAGGGCTTCTCCTTTTTGCTTTCAATACTATATATACACATATACAATATTTATATTATATATTTATGGTATTTATATATAATTAATATAAATTATATATATATATCTTTGTTTATTTATTTTGGTTTTTCAGGCCACAGTTTCTCTGGATGCCTGAGCTGCCCTGGAATTTGCTCTGTAGACCAGGATGACCTCAAACTCACAGACATCCACCTTCTGAATACTGGGATTAAATGCATGCACCACAGCCTGACTTCATGCTAATATTTTTAAATATTTAAGTTTCATATTTCCATGTAACTAAATTAATTCAACAATGAACTAGCCACATTTTCTTCATTTTTTGAAATCTATTTAAAAATCAACTTGGAATTTCCTCTTGTCTTTGAATAAAGGCAGTAGCTAGATTTTTCTTTCGCCAGATATCCAGCTTTCCTAGACTATTAACTAACCTATGATCATAATGACTTCTGCAGCATTTAACAATATTCATTAATACTCTTGGCTTTTTGTTGCTCTTATTGTTACTGGTTTTTTGTTGTTGTTGTTTTTGGTTTTTCGAAACAGGGTTTCTCTGTGGCTCTGTTTGTAACTATGAGTTGTACCACATTGTTCCCCTCTTGTCCCTAAATCTAAAGTACGTAACTCATAAACAACCTTATAGGTTTATTTTAAAAGAGTTCTTAAGATGAGAGAAATGTGTGAACCAGTGCATATATTTTTATTTAATTAAAGGATTTTAAATTATATTATTGCTGTGTGCGTACAACATGTGGGGAGAGGTGCATCCAAGCCATGGGGCATTGTGTGGGGGATACATCCAAGCCATGGGGCATGTGGGAAGGGATACGTTTGAGCCATGGGGCATGTGTGTGGAGGTCAGAGGACAACATTATAGAATGAGTTCTCTTCTTCCTATTTTATCCAGGTTCTAGGAAGCAAATTCAAGTCTTCAGAGTAAACACACCAAATATTTCTCACCTGTCAAGTCATCTAGCTGCCCTAATTTTTAAACTTTATTTAAATTTTAAGTTTTGCTGATTTTTAAACCTTGTTAATAAGTTACATACTTTGAGGAATGAGACTTGGAAAACCACCGGATCATATACAAAGCTACTGTAAAGACATGTAAGCATAACTCTCTCTCAAGAAATCCATAATCACATCTTGGAGTTACATTCTGTTCCTATTCCTGTATGTCTAAGCACTTGCGAACTAACTCCACTTCAACCTGGCTCATTCTGAAACTCCTTATGCTTAGGGTGGGGCCTCAACTGTGTAGAAGTCACTAAAAGAAAAAAGAACTCTTGAAGTAGCTAGTGGCATATGGGGGTATCTCCCTGGTGTTGTTGCTGACACACTCATAACACAAACTACACTACATACCATTGCCAAATAAAATTAATTTTCTTGCAGAATTCTGATTATATCAATCCCAGTCAAGTATTTTTTGAGACATCCCCCAAGGGGGTATCTTTAAACCTCTATTTAGCCATGTAACAATCTACCTAATACTTAAAACAAATGATATTCAGGATGGGAAGATGGCTGGGTTGGTAAAGGGCTTTCTGAGCAAACTTGAGGAACTGAGTTTAGGTCCCCAGCATCCACAAAAAACATAATAAGCCAGGCACAGTAGTTGACACCTATAGTGAGTGCTAGGAAGGCAGAGACAGGAAGGTGCCTGGGGCTTGCTGGCCAGCCAGTCCGGCCACATCAGTGTGCTCCAGTTTAGTGAAAAATCCTGTCTCTAACAACTAAGGTGGAGAAGGGATTGAGTAATAATACACACATAAAATAAAAATTACAATACATAACAATTAGACATAGTAGTGCATATCTTTAATTCTAGCACTCAAGAGAAAAAGGGAGGGGGCTTCTGAGTTGCAGGCCAGTTTCAGCTACATAGTTAGACCATATCTTAATAAACGAAAAACAATAAAAGGGTTCACATGTAATAATGACTAAACATTTGCTTATGCAATATTACTCCAGCTTTAGGTGGTAGTAAAGCATGATAGTTATGAGTTCAGGCTCTGAAGATTAGGCAGTTCCCATATTCAACTACACTACATACACTACAAATTCAGGAAAGTTCCTTCCTCTTTCAGAACCTCTGTATTTTTCATCACTTTCAGCATAGTAGATAGCACATAAGAAACAATGTTGCTGGGCAGTGGTGGTTTACGCCTTTAATCCCAGCACTCGGGAGGCAGAGGCAGGCGGATCTGTGAGTTTGAGGCTGGGCTGGTCCCACAGCCTCCAAAACAATACAGAGAAACCCTGTCTGGTAAAACCAAAAAAAAAAAAAAAAAAAAAAAAAAAAGAAACAATGTTAACTCCAATTCTACTCTGAAACTGACCAACCGCATTTTTCTTTTAAATATCTTAGTTAGGGTTTCTATTGCTGTGAATAGACAAAACACCATAATCACGGCAACTCTTATAAAGGAAAAAATTTAACTGGGGCTGGCTTACAGTTTCAGAGGTTTTGTTCATTAGCATCATGACAGAACATGGCGGCATGCAAGCAGACATGGTGCTGGAGAAGGAGCATATGAGCCCTTAAAGTCCACCCCCATAGTGACAAATTTACTACAACAAGGTCACACCTCCTAATATTGCCACTCACAATAGGGCAAGTATTCAAACGCATGAGTCTATGTCTATATCTATTCAAACCACCTCATACCATATCTTCAGTCAAACAGTGATCAAACATTCACTATTAAAAAGTCAGTTTCTTTCCACCTCCATGCTATTTTTCCTTCCTCCAAATTAGAATTCCTTCCTTCTCCATAATTCCTCTTAGATGTGCATGTCTATATCATATTCAAGTTTATAATCTTATATCAAATGTTATTTTTCCTTGATGACTACACATTTTAATGTTAATACTACTTCATTTAAACCTTTTAAGATTGTATGCATTTTCTAATAAACATAAATTTCAAAAGACAAATAAGATTCAACTAGCTTGGAAAAAAAGAGGATAAGATTAAAATGAGTAACATTTCCAGTAAACTAGGGCTTCTACGAAATGGACTGGATTATGTAGCTGTAAAACTTCTAGAACAGCTGTAATCTCAAAGCTTATGTAAATTCAGTCTAGCCTAACAGCATTAACATTATCTGAAAACTTGTTGAAATATGAAAAATTTGTCCCACCCAAGTAGTGAATCAGAGAATGAGAATGAGACCTAGCAATTTGTGCTTTATCAAGCCTGGGGGTTAGTCTGAGAGCCTGAGTTGTATCCTTGGAATTCACAGGGTGGAACAAGAGGATCATTCCCGATAGACACATAGACACACACAGACACAGACACAGACACACACACAGACACAGACACAGACACACACACACAGACACACACACACACACACACACACACACACACACACACACACACACACACCACTTGAAGATCTCTGAAAGCAAGCCCAAAAACCCAGTAGGCACTGTACCCAGTTACTGTGATAATGATTACTGACCTAGGAAGACAGAAAGAACTGACTAAACAAATGACATGAGCTGGAGCTAGAGTGGTTTCACAAGTGTAAGAAAAGACATGTAAACAAGATGTTTACAGCCAAAACAAACGTATAACTTTATATGACTCCTTCTTACACTTTCTGATTTAAGGTTTTATCTTTTTAAATTCTCTTTTAGTATTTTAATGTATACATGTTTTGTCTGCACATACATGTGTGCACCACATGGTGCTTGGTGCCTGCAGCAGCCAGAAGTGGGTGCTGGATCTCGGGTATTGGAGTTACAGACCATTGTGAATCACCATATGGATACTGGGAATTGAACCTGGGTAATCTAGAAAAGCAGTCAGTACTTGTAACGGCTGAGTCCTCTCTCCAGCCTCCTACAGTTTTCTCTTACCACCTTTAATGAAAGGCCAATGCTCTTTAGAAACCACCTTATGAAGTCATTTATTAAAAAGTTCCCGCCAGGTGTTGGTGGCTCATGCCTTTAATCCTAGCACTCAGGAGGCAGAGGCAGGTGGAGCTCTGTGAGTTCGAGACCAGCCTGGTCTACAGAGCGAGTTCCAGGACAGGCTCCAAAGCTACACAGAGAAATCCTGTCTCAAAAAACAACAACAAAACAAAAGCAAAAACAAACAAACAAAAAACCCAAAAGTTCCCATAGTGAACCTTTAAACAAGGTAACTTCTGAACTTCTGAAGGCACCAAAATCATGTGATATTATGATTGGGTGTGTACTGGCCTTTTCCTAAGTGACTCTTTCCCTTAATGTTAGGCTTCCATCTATGCTAAAAACCTTTTCTAGGGGTTGTAGAGATGGCTCAGAGGTTAAGCGCACTGATTACCCTTCTAGAAGTCTGAGTTCAATTCCAGGAACCACATGGTGGCTCACAACTATCTGTGATGAGATTTGGTGCCCTCTTCTGGTGTGCAGACATACATGCAGGCAGAACACTGTATACATAATAAATAAATAAACCAGTCTTTTAAAAAAACCCTTTTCTAGCCAGGCAGGGTTACACATGCCTGGAAACACAGCACTCAGGAAGTGGAAACAGGAGAATTAGGGGATTTAAGATCAGTCTCGACTACAAATAAAATTTAAGGACAGAGAAAGTACATGAAATTAAAACTACTTTTCCATTATAAATAATTGTTCTCAGTAAGGAGTTACTTAAGAGTATACTTGTAAATTAATATACTGTGATTCAAAGAAGGTAGAGTTCTATTTGCATTGACAGAACATTATGACTTTGGTTTTACTGAAGATTTTAACAAACTGTGTGTCATTTGTTTTTGCCCTTTTGGGAATGGAATCCATGGCTTTGGGCACACTGGAAAAGGGTTCTAACACTGCCCTTTAAAATATTTTTATTATGAAAATTTCCACACATTACAGATGTAAATAGGTAATGTGGGAGCTTATACTAGTCTGCCCAACTTCCAAACCATAATATGAAGCTCTATTTCCCTTTACATAGCACAGGCTAGTCTTAAATTCAAGCAGTCAAAGTTGGTCTTTGATCCCTGACCCTCCTGACTCTACCTCCCAAGTACTGGGATTCCAGGTATGTTCCATGCTTGCTTCTAAGTTATCTGTTCTCCTCTACGGCAATGTAATAATATGGCATGCACTTTTTCTGGATGATTTTCTCTTATGATCTGTGACACTGCTTTTTTGGTTCTCCCAATGATATTTTTAAGAGATTTGTTTTATTTTATTAATTATATGTATATTTGTGTCTATGTGTAGGCACATACATTTATTTAGGTACCCACAGAGGCCAAAGAGGTGTTGGATCCCGGGAACTGGAGTTACAGGTAGTTTATGAGCCACCTAACATGTGCACTGGCACAACTTGGGTCTTCTGGAAGAGCAGTGTGTACTCTTTATTGTTGAGCCATCTCTAGCACCCCTCATGCTTTTTTTGAGACTGCATTTCACATAACTCAAGCCGGTTTTTCATTCCTAATCTTATCTTCTCCAAAATGCTAGCTACAGGTGTGCACTAACACCCCCAACTTTTTAATGAAATTTTTGTAGCCCAGGCTAGCCCAAATCTACATGGCATGCAGCCCAAGCTGGCTTTAAATTCACAAATAGCCTCCTGCCTTAACCACCCAAACTCTGGGATCACATAGGTAAGTCTGCACACTTGGCCCACAATTTATCAATCTGAACCTGAAAATCAGTAATTATTTATTCATGTGTATGAATGCCTGTGTGCATGTGTGTATGTACAGATGTGTACGCATGAGTGTCTGTGAAAGCCAGAAGACATCAGAGCTCCTGAGTCAACTTTCCAACCCCTAAACCTGAAGTTAAATGAACTAACACAGGTTAATTCTTTTTTGTCTGCATTCTGTGATAAGCAATCAGTGAACTCCTACCTTGTTTCATCTTTGGGTCTGCAGCCATCATCATTCTGTGAAGTACCTTTAACAATAAATTTAAACAAAATGAGATTCAAGAGAGTAATTTTCAACTGAAACTAAAAAACAAAAAGCTTTATACTAAAACTATTATACCTTTCTAGTACAGAATATATATCCAAACATAAATTTTAAAGGGAAAATAAAATGATGTTCAAATTCAATTCTATGCATACTGTTATTCAATGAGAGATTAGCTAAGATGCATTACTCATACCCTACTGCATTTTTTTTTGAGGTATGTTTTTTACTCTAATTCAAACACAGTATTTAGCCATTTTCCCAAAGCTCAGGCTGGCACTGAACTCCTCACATTCGTGCCTCAGTCTCGTTGTACACCCTCATACACACCTTTTAACTACTTACTCTATCTGAAATATGGGAGAACATTACTACTCAATAACAGAACAGTCAATATAAAACAACTCTGAAATAGCAAAGCCAATAATAACTCTTTCTTTATATAAAGGAACTGGAAAAAAAACTCAGAAAATAAAAGATACAAAGAATTCTCTGAAAAGAAGACTCTGTCTGGAAAAAAAAAAGCCAAATAAGTTTCAAAGAGGTCCAAATAAATGCCATAATATTCGTGTATTCTTCCAATTTTATTCACAGAAAGAGGAGGAAAACTGAAAATTGCATAAAAACTCAAGTTGAACAGTCTAGGCACAACTAGCAAAAGAACAAAACTCCCAAGACACAGCCACGGTTTCAGTAGTAAAATCACAGTACACTACACCACAGCACATAACCATATTATGCCACAGCTAGCAAGGGTTGTAGACGTCTACAGTTTTTCTTTTTTAAGTACTGGGGATCATAAAAATATACATTTAAAAAATGATAGTGGAATGGGTAAAACATAGAGTTGCTTTATAATTGAAACTATTAAAATCTACAGTATTTAAAACAAATTAACAAAACCTGTTACCTCAAAAATATGTTAACCGTGGGCAGGCAAGATGACAGGGAAAGGTGATTGCTACAAACATGATGACCTGAGTTTGATTCCTGGAACCCATCTGATCAAAAGAGAGAACCAACTTACAGAAGCTGGCCTCTAACCTCCATACTCTCACTATATTCATACACCTACATACATACAAACAAATGTAATAAATATAGTAACAATTTATATAAAGAAACATTAACTACACATTTGAAATGGTGACCCTTATGACATATGAAATGTACTCTAATAAAGTATTAAAGTGGTCTCTAAAAACATGACATAGTGTTGGTCTAAGAGTGCTATGGAAGTTGGAGGTAAGGGGTTGAGTGACCTCCACAGAGCAATCACACAGTACAAACAAATTTACCATGTGGATAGATACAGTTCAAGTACCAGCATGTTAGTTTGCCCAAGGACACAGCAATGCTGGTTCCTAGAACCCATGTGATGTCTGAATCTGACCGGTGAGATCTTGGCATTCAGCAATCAGGATGGGTAACTCATGAACAAGAACCTCACATCTTACTGTTTGCGCAGCCATTATCCAAAAAATCAAAGAAATGAAGCTATGAGCCACCTCTCAGCCTCAAGCTTTACACAGCTGTCCTTACTAACATCCTTCTGACAGCGTGATTATGTTGCTTTTCTTTTCACTTCGACATTTAGAGGACATTCAATCCACTGTTTGAATGTGCTGGGACCAGCCTTGCTTCATGAGTCAAGCCAACAATGTTACAGTCCTATCAGAAGTGTGTGACCCCAAAGTCATAGTGTAGTCCATATCCAGCAGGCCACATCTGCAACACTGAGGAAGTGTCTAGATCATTCATGGCTGTTACAGGGAAAGTATGAATTTGTTGTTGTGGTTTTCCTGTTTTGGGTATTGCATTTATGGTGACTTACGGATTTATGTTTCAATATATTGGAAACTTTCCATTTATCTGCCAAATCTGTTGCATATTACAAGCTTGATTAAAGAGTTTTATAATCTTAAAGAAAAAAAAGAGCCAAACCAAAACAGAGTTGAGGATAAAACTCACTTGGTAGATTGTTTAAAACTCACTTGGTGCCGCATGCCTTTAATCCCAGAACTCGGGAGGTAGAAGCAGGCTGATCTCTATGAGTTCAAGATCAACCTGGTCTACAAGAGCTAGTTCTAGGACAGGCTCCAAAGCTACACTGGGAAACCCTGTCTCAAACAAACAAACAAACAAACAAACAAACAAAAACCCTCACATGGTAAAATAAAATGCTTGTTTAAAATGCACAAACCCCTGACTCGAGTCCCAGCACTGCACACACCAGGTGTGAAAGTTCACATCAGTCATCTCTCAAAGATACTGCCATGAATCTAGGGTCAGTCTGGGACACACAGTAAGATTACAAGTCAGTCTGAGCTCCAGTGTGAAACTGTCTCAAAATAAAATGAAACAATGTTTTTTATGTATATTATATTTTCTTACAACGATTGATATATGGGACATAAGTGGAATGAGAAAACTATACCAAAAAACTGTATATATAACATTAAATACTAAATCAAATAGGTATTCCATTTCTCTCATAAATAAAAAAGCCACTAGGAATGGGGGTGGAGGGTAGCTTAGCAGGTAAAAGCATTTGCCAAGCCTCACAACCTGAGTTCAATTCTGGAACCTGAATGAAAAATCAAGACACAGTAGTGTGCATCCATAATCCAGCACTCCTAGAGCACAATGGGAGGCAGACAGAAATGGTTAGAATTTCTCAGGCCAGCTTTCTGGAGTGTACAGCATAGCAGCTAAAAGAAGAGGACCTGTCTCATCTAGGTAGAAGGTGAAACCAATTCCAAAAATTGTCTTCTACACCACTTACCTCTACACATGCACTGCAGCATATGGGTGCCTTAACCATACATATATTACACACACATGATAGATGATAGATGATAGATAGATAGATAGATAGATAGATAGATAGATAGATAGTCAGTCACTTGGAGAAGGGCAAGGTGACAAGAAAACCATATCAAAATTCTAAATGAACATGTTTTACCCACAGGAAAATGTGGAAAAACTACAAAGATTTCACCTCAGTGAGCTAAATTACAAGAGCACTCCCACCATAAAATAACTAGTTTCTAAAGAAGTTTAACATACTTCATATTCCTTGGCTGCCAAGCAATCTCGAAACTGAACAAAAACTTGGTCTGATTTACCAAACTAGAAGCAGAATGCAGCTTGGAAACATCTTCATCTTGTGACAGTCACCAGATCTCAGAAAGCCTCAGCCCAACAGCAAGGTGGGGAGTGCTGAACTAGACACTGAATATTATGCTAGGAATCGCAGAAAATAGATAAAACGTTTTTAGGTTGCAGCAAACCCTGGCACTACCTAAAGCAAAAGACATTTTCTCTAAAGCAAAGAATTCCCAAATTAGGCCTTTAAAATTCTGGTAGACTAAGATAAAATGGAAATTTGCAATCAAAGAACATAAAATAAAAATCAAAATGAGCCCTAATAAGAGAAAGGCAAGCTGGGCGTTGGTGGCGCACGCCTTTAGTCCCAGCACTCGGGAGGCAGAGGCAGGCAGATCTCTGTGAGTTCGAGGCCGGGCTGGACTGACAGCCTCCAAAACAATACAGAGAAACCCTGTCTCGTAAAACCAAAAAAAAAAAAAAAAAAAAAAAAAGAGAGAGAGAGAGAAAGAGAGAGAAAGGCAAGATCATTTCTATGTCAACATGGTGGTGCATGCCTGTAATTTTTAGCAATCGGCACTCAAGAGGCAGATTCAAGAAAACGATTGCAAACTTGAGGTCATCTTGGTAAGTGAGCTTCAGGCCAGTCAGTATTATATATCAAGGCTCTGAAAACACCAAAAACTTTTAAGATCATTTAGATCCCCACAGGTTTTAGGTAGTAGAATTATTAAACGAAAAATAGAGGAAAATCATGCATTAAAAGACAATGCATGGAGCATGGTAGCAAATTATTATAATCCTAGTACTTGAGAATCAGAGACAGGGTGCTGAATTTGAGACTAGTCTGGGCTACTTAGGGAGAACCTATCCCCAAAAAACTGAAGGGCTGGGAGTAGAGTTAAGAACGCTTGCCCAGCATGCAGGCAGCCCTTGGCCTGATGTCTAGCATCCCCAGCACATGAATCGAGAATGGTGGCACACTCACCTTAATCCTGGCATTTGGGAAGTGAGGCATAGTATTAAAAAGTCAAGGTAATCCTTAGTTTACATAGTGAATATGAGGCTTGTGCTACATGAGACTCTATCTAAAAACTAAATAAAGCTTTCAACATCCTCACATAAAGCCAGAAAATATGAAGCTAGCAACATAAGCATCAACAATTCCACTCACAAGTATATACCAGGAGATATTAAAACATCACAGAGAAAAATTTCCTGAAAGTTAACAGCATTAGTTATAATTCATACTAGCTAAATCCATCAGTAGATGGGTAAATTGTAGTGTGCATATACAATGGAATATTAGTCTGCTTCAAAAAGGTACTGATACACACTACAACTTAACCACTAGTCAACTACAGGACTCAGAGGAGAAGTGTAAATATGCGAAGTATGTTAAGTAAGTAAGTGAAGTATGTGAAATTTCTTTAGAAACTAGTTATTTTGTGGTGGGAGTGCTCTTGTAATTTAGCTCACTGAGAAGTGTAAGGACTGTTGCTCAGAACCTAACACTCACATAAAAAGCCATATGTGATCCATTATATGCCTATACCACAGCACTGAGGGTGGAGAAGACAGGAATTAGTGTGTAGTTTGCTGGTGGTCAGTTGGCCAAAATACCAGAGCTCCAAGTGTAACAGAAGACCTTGCCTCAAAGAACAAGACAAGACGATAGAGGAAAAACACTGCTGCCCCCTCGCTGCCATGTGCACAGTTGGACACACTGACATGGATATGTACACACATCACATACACTCACAAAAATTCAGTTATGATTTAATATGATGCAACAGTTACTTTTCATTGTCAACTTAACTGGATTAAGAAATGCCTATGAGGTTAGTAAAGCACACCTCTGATGGCATTTCCAAA